TTTCTCAAATTTCACCTGCCAACTTTTAATTTAAAAAAAAAAAAAAGCTGAACAGGATGACTACGAGAATGATCTCTCTCACACACACGCACAAATTAAGACGAAACCACTGAACAGAGACGACTCCGTGGGGTGACGTGACCCCGACCGTGCTGGTGGGGCCGGGACACCGGAGTTCCCGCTGGGGGCTCCCTGGCACCGACGCCTGGATCCTTCCCCCGCACGCCAATTTGCATACGATTACCCAAGAAGCCCTGCGCCTGGATTTTGCTTTTGCAAATTCCCACCCGTTTCGTGTCATAAATAAGATAGGAGACAGAAAACTAATACAGCCCAGCGATGCATTATTCATGGCGCGTCACAGTGTTATGATAGATTTACAACAGCTAATACATGCAAACTAAGTTTGGGCACTAAATGTGAAAGTTAAGGGCGGGGAAGGTGGGTGTAGGTGGGGTGGGAGGGGGAAATCTGGAGGGGTGGGGGTCTACAGGGCAGCTGGCTGGGAAGTTTCTTTCCTGATGGGGTCAGTGACAGGAAAGCACTTGGTGCCGGTGTGGGGCCACATAAGCAGCGGCCTGCTGGGGGACCAGGGAACTCTGGGGGAGAGGGGCCCCCGTGGGAACACCTCAAGGCTGTGGCAGCCACATCAGAAGCAGGACCCCAGCCCTCGTGTGACACAGTTGTCCCACCCAGATGTGCCCCACCGCTTTACCCAGAAAAATAAGGTCACTGCCCAAACCATTCAGCCCTGTGTTGATGGGCAGGACCCACCCAGCCCAGCTGCCGGGCCTGCCAACAAGCCCTTTGCCCAGATTCCTTCCCACCCTCTCCAGGGTGACCCCACTTCCTCAGAGACAGCTTCTCCCAGGTCACCTGCCCACAGACCAGCACCCCGAGTTCTCCCAGCCCACACTTCCGCCTTCAGCCCGAAAGCACAACAGTGAAAGGGGCACAGCACACACCCCCCCATGGAGAGGAAGGGTCCCCTCTAGGCTCCCCCAATGCTGGCTGAGGTGTGGCGCCACGCCTGGGAGACAGACAGAGTGCTCGTTTTCATCTGCTGACAGCCTCCTGGGTGCAGGGGTGACAGTCAAAACCATCTCCCACAGTGAGCAATGCTCTGAGCACCAGAAGGCTGGGTGATGTGGCCAGGCCAGGCCTGGGGCAGAGGTGACCCTGGTGGCAGCCGTCAGAGGGCCTAGTGATGAGGAGGAAGCTCTACACAACAATGTTTGGGGTAGGGGACAGTAGAGGCAACAGCCCAGAGGTGGGGCAGGTTCAGCGGCCACGCTGCAGGGTCTGCCCTCTGGCCCACTTCCCGTCTAAGATGAACCCGCTGGTGTCTGCAGCAAGGAGAGGACCCCGCCGTCACCTAGAGCCCACTCACAGCCCAGCCAGGGAGCGCCCACTCTGCCCCGACCAGCAGAACACACCTCACATGCCTAGCCGTCTATCAGCCTGTCCCCCAGTAAGTTTTTTTGAATTAAGATGCAACAATCATCCCACAGCTGGCTTCCCCCTCCAGCAATCGGTTGAAATGAACTCCAGACGACTGGATTAGACTTTGAAGGTGGCGATCTAGATAATGAACACCGAGGATGCGGTGTTGACACAGGCCCTGGTGAGCTACATTATTATTTAACAGGCCTCGCTGCCGCCTCCGCTGGGATCAAGGAGCTGAACAAGCAGTTGGTGGGCCAGTGTCAAAGCCGGAGACAGACCTCAGGCACTGGCTCGGCAGGGGACAGGTGCCGCAAGGTCAGGGCAGCCAGCAGGGGCCAAGTGGGCCTTGTGGAGACAGCTGGGGCGAGCCCAGCCCAGAGGTCCTGCCCCTGGGAGCCACCCGTCGTCTCCTGCACTCCACCAGGCCTCCTCTGGCTCATGGTGACTTCTCTGCCCGGAGCATCCTCCCGCCTCCTGCTTCCCTCGCCCATCACAGCCACTCACCTGCCCCGTCTGGCTCAGGATCCCTGACCTCCAAGCACCTGCCTGGCTCCATCCTTCCTCCAGCTGGGTCTGGTCCCTCACCCTTCCCTGGGCTCCCACCGGGTCAGGGCTTGCCCTGCAGACCTCCTCATTGGCCTGACATTGACTGTCCCAAGCCTGCTCCCACACTGGAAGCTGAGTCCCTAAGAGCTGAGACCGGGTCTGGCTTCTGTCACTCTCACACCTACACCAAGGCCTGATAGTCAGGACATTGACCTGCCCATGCGCCCAGATTACGGAGTTAGACACTGGGGAGACAAAGATGAAGTGTGGGCATCCCTTAGCCTGGAAGACAAGCTGGCAGGAAAAACAGGCACAGAAACACAATGCAAGGTCCTGAGTTGCATGTGACAGCAGAGAAACTGTGGGAGGGGAGGGGGGCGCACAGCCAAAGGAGACGTGCCTCCTGCCATCCCCCACGCCAGCACAAGTTCAAGAGCAGGCGCGAGAGTGGTCTGTGTCAGATCCCCACTCTGCCTCTTTCCAGCTGGATGACCTCAAGCAAGTCACTCGACCTCTCTGTGCCTATTTCTTTTTTTTTTTTTTTTTTATGTCACAGTTTTTCTTTTTTCTTTTTTTAAAGATTTATTTTTATTTATTTATACAAGCACTGGGTACAGTCAGAAGCGCGGGAGGGTGAGAGAATTCACCAGAGCCAGAGCGGGGAGCAGAGCAGGCAGAAGGACCGAAGTACACTGCTGAGGGGAGCAGCGGGCGGCAGGAGAGGTCTGTGAGCCATGCGGGACCCTCCTCCGGTGACCAGGGAGCAGCCGGGGATCAAACCTGCGCCGCAGGGACTGCGGGCAGCTTCGCAACCCAGCGCTCAACCGCTGCGCCACCGGGGAGGCCCTCTGTGCCTATTTCTTCCCCTGGAAATTGGGAATAATAATAACACTGTTCTCTGAGTCGGCATTAGATGAGTTCATTCCTACCAAGTGCTGATGTCCATGCTGGGCTCACCCGAAGCCCACAGTATGTGCTGGTGGTTGTCACTTTCTGGGAGTAGGAGAAAGCAGGGAAGCTCCTGAGAGCGGCACAATCCCGAGGCTAACCCCTATATCTGACACTGGGGCCAGAGCCATGCCAGCCACATCTGGGCCAACCGCACACCCCAGGAACGCCTGGCTCCTGGCTGGGGCAAAGAATGAACCCATGTGGCTCAGACCCCCAGAGAGGGTTCCCCAAGGCTGAAGGAGACCTGGCTGCAGGGCTGCTAATAGGTGGTGCCTATTAGCATCGCCTATCAAGTATGTGTGGAGACAGTAGACGAGGAGCTTCACGCACGAGGAGACACAGCTGCCCAGCCTCCAGGCCCGGCTAGGGGGTGGTGGCGGCGGGCGGGCAAGCCAGCCAGGGTGGTCATTAGCAGCAGACAGACAGAGGCGCTTCCAGACCCCAGCACGAAGGCGGGCCGGTTTCCTCCCTGTTCCAAGCAGCGACAGAGCTCGGCTTATTAAATATGCATGGCGAGCACCTCGTTACTGTGCCGAAGGCTGTGTGTACTGAGGCCAGCTGCCCGCACCGCACAAACTTTTCAATCTCCCTGCCCACACGGGCGCGTGATTCCCTGGGCCCGCCGTGGAGTCCCCCCTTTCTCGATGCTCCCCACCACCCAACATCTCCTGCCGCCCTCCCTGGTGTGCAGAGCAGGTGAGCCCTTTCTTAAGAACAGCTGGTGTGAGGATGGGGGGCAGGGGAAAGGCTCGGAAGAGGCTGGGGGTCAGGGACGCTGGTCGGACAGACACTTCCTGCCAAACTGTGTGAGAACCAGGTGGGCCTGGGCTCCAAAAGGCCAGGGAGAACCTCCCTTCCATAAGGCTGAGGGGAGAGACCCTTGGAAGCAAGTTGGGGGGAGGTAACAAGGAAGACCCCCAAGATGAACCAGGGGCTGGGAAGGGAGCGGCTCAGGGGACCCCCTCCTGCTCCAGGAGAAAGAACCAAGAAATCAGGACCCACCACCCACCTCTCGCCAGTGTCTCCTCCTGTTGGCACCTTCCCTCCCACTCACCTGCCCAGCCCAACAGCACCAGGGGGGCATGTGGAGAATATGGTCCTGGTGCCAGGCCTAAGCATGAGGGAGGCGCTGTCTACGCAGCCCCTGAAGGGGGCACAGAGTCATGTTTAGCCCCAGCCTCCTCCTCAGAGGGTGATGAGAGCTCAGAGCCCACCCCGGTGCAGGCATACTGGGCTCGGCCTCCTCTGCCGCCTAAGTGCCAACCCGAGCAACTCCTCCTCCCACCCGGCGCCCAAGAGCAGAGCCACTGACCGCGTGGGCGAGACAGCGGGTGGGCAGATGCAGAGCCCTCATGGAGGCCGCTCGGGCCTGCTCTGACTTCTGGCCTCCACCAGCACTGACCCTGGCCTGGGGCAGCTCATTCCTGCTGAGCCTCCAAACCAGCCAAATGCTGGCAGACGTCACAAAATGCCCTCGGGGAGCCACAACAGCCACACACGATGGTCCCTGGAGCATGGCGAGGCCAGTGGGCCCCAGTGAGAGTCGCCGGCAGGTGTGGGCCCCAAGGGACCAGCTAGAGGACAGGGTTCACCCCAGGCAGAGGCAGGACCCAGCAGCTTCCCTGTTCAGAGTCTCCAGGTGGCTGCGTCCTCACTGGCTGCCCCACACCCCAGAAGGCTGCACCCTGGGGACCAGTACAAGGACGGGGCCCTGGCCTTACCTCCAAGGCAGCAACAGACATACCGGGGTCCAGATCCCAGCCAGTGTGGTTGGGAGCCTCGCCCTCACGGCAGCGGGGGATGCAGGTCCGGGTAGTGGCCAGGGCCCAGCATGGATCTCGGGCCCCCTCTGCATTCCCATGGAGCTCTTTGGAGCCTTTTGGAGTCCAGGCCCACCTGGGTCTCACACAGCTTGGCAGGAAGTGCCGAGCCCCACTGCAGCCTCTCCCGGAGGCTCCCCACTCTGAACCTAAGACACAGCCAGGAACTAAGCGCGGCGTCTAGTAGAACTCGAGCATGTATGAGTGCCCACAAGATGCCCCGGGGCAGGGCAGTACCTGAGTCTGCAGGCTGGTGGCATCCAGGACGGTGACCCGGGCCCCACAGCTGGCCCATACAGCATCTTCCAGGCTCAGCAGGGTGCGAATAGGCCCGGGCCCCACTGTCAGGCACACAGGAGGGCTCTCCAGGTCCCAGGGCACGCCTCCTGGAGGGAGAAGAAGGAAGCAGCTCAGGGGAGAGGGCAAACAGGTCAGGGGCCCAAACAGGTCAGGGGCCTCAGTGTAGGCCTGGCCCAGCACCCCAGGTTCCCGAACCCATCAGTTGCCCCCCACCACCCACTGTAGGGTGATGGCTGTTCCCATCTGCCTCCACTCACATCCCACCCCTTCTCTTCTGTTCATCCATTCCACGCACATTTAGTAAGCACCTGCTACATGCCAGGCTGATGCTATGTATTAGAACAGAAATGAATCAAGCGCACTGTTCTTCAGGAAACCCCGCTGGTCCAAGAAACCATGGGGTTAATCAGCAGTTACCATACAGGTGTCAAGCACAAATGACCAGGCGTGCACAGGGGGCCATGAGAACTGCTGAGATGAAAACAAAACAAATCTGCACAGGGAAAATCTAGGGAGGCTTCCCAAAGGAGGCAGCATCCTCACTCGATCCTGCCAGGAAGGCAGTACAACATGACAGGACGTTTCCTGGACCAAGTCAAGAGACATGGGGTCTGGTCCTGCCAGCAACTCACTATGGACCATGAGCGCATCACTCCGCTTTTCAATGCCTTGGTTTCCCTATCTGTAAAGTGGGAAGTCGCAGAGCAAACAAGATTGCCTTAGAACTTTTTGACACAGGCTTAGAGGGACTGACCCTCGCCTCCTCACAGAACTTCCTGCCTCCTCCAAGGTGCTCTCACCTCCCCCAAGCTCTCTGAAGACCTTCCTCCTCCAGAGAGGTGACTGCCCCAGGTGTAGAAGGAGGAGAGGTCCCGAGAGGCCAGCAGCCCCTAACCCAGCACCCCTGAGGACAGAGCAGAACGGAGGACCTGGCCTGGCCTGGCACTGCCCACCCCGGGGATGCTCAGCTTACCCAGGAACATGCCCTGCAGCTGCGTGGTGTGCTTGGAGGTTGGTTTGTCTCTGAAGCCACACCTGATGCCACACAGCACCCCATGGCTGCCTGTTGTGCCAGGATGCCAGGTGGGGAAGGAACTTGAGGCGGAGGTTGCCCAGGCCATGGCCCACCCGGGAGGGACAAGCAGAGACAGGGTCCAGGAGCAGGACAGAGCCCCACCCCTCCACCGCGTCCCTGGAATGAGTTCACAGGAGCCCACCACAGACCCCCCTGGAAGCCAGCTGCTGAGCAGAGGGGCCCCCAGCGTCCACTGAGGGAGCCGCTGCCTGGGCTGGGGAGGAGCCCTCGGGGAGGAGTCCTTGAGAAGAGCCGTATCCCCGCCCACCCCCGCCCTCCTCAGGCTGTCCCTCTGCCCATCCTCCCCCGTAAGCCAGGCTCTCCTCTCCCCTCTGTCCTACTTACCACTGGCGGCCTCCCAGCTCAGCCGAGAGCTGAGGAAGCAGGACCCTCAAACTCACTGGGGCCAGCGCCCCCGCCCATGAGCGTGAGGGTGAGGAGCAGGCCGGCTGACTCCAGCTGCGCCCCGGAGCTTATGCAGCACGGGGCAGGTGACCTCCCCGCGCCGAGCCTCATCTCCTCATCTGTAAAGCGGGCCAGTGCCACAGGGAAGGACACTCACACAGTGCCCACGCCGGCAAGCCCGCCTGGAAGGTTCTGTGACCAGCCCTATCTCACAACTGAGAAAAATGAGGCAGAGACTGAATAACCAGCCAGAATGTCGCCGCTGGACAGGACTCCTGCTCAGTAGCCGTGCTGCTTGGTGTCCCCAGCCACACACCATGGTGGGCAAGCGGGTATCGACTCCACCCAACCAACACGGCGCCAGGGACCCACAGAGCTGGGGTGATGGGCCATGTTCCTTCCCCAACCCCTGCCGCTCTCTCTGCTTCCAAGTTCCCAAAGGGCTCTGGGGCCAGGACTGAGGGCCTAGCGGGGTGAGTGACCAAGAGGCGGCCAGGCGTCCGCAAGGGACACTGACCCCACCGGAACGCCAGAACACGAAAATGCAAGGCCTTGAGCACCCCCCAGTGGCCAGAGATACATGGTCTGGAAGCCAGAAGTTGGGGATCCTGCCCCGGTGACTAAGGGGGGCTGTGACCCGCCCCAGGGAGGAGGTCACTAGAAATACTGTGACCACACCCTGAAAGCAGTAAAGTGGCCCAGACAGTGGTGGCCACTGGAGCCCTGCACCTTCTGTCCTGCCGACCCGGGCCTGTCCAGGGCAGGGGCTGGGGTCTGACACCCTGGGACGGCACATGGGCACTGACCCCTCCTCCACTCATTGGGCGTCTCCAGAAACCCTTGAAGTCCTGACTCCAGGACTGAATGAAAATGTGATAAAACTTAATAAGACCAACATTATTGTACCAAAAGGACACTGGACAGAAGTCCCCCATCCTCGGGCCCACGGTGGGGCCCTGCACAAGAGGCTTCCCCGTGCTGAGACTCACTTAGCCCAAGTGAACCACGAGGGACGTAACTGACCTCTCAGGGTCTTCCCAGCCTTCGCGAGCCACAGTTCTAAGGTTTTAAGTGAGCTCTGGCCAGGGGCAGCCCTCGTGCCCCCCTAGCTGGGGACCCACCCTCCACCCCCTTCCCCTCGGGGGTCCTGGGCATGCGCACGCTCGCACTCCCACGCACACACAGCCCTGGGTACAACAGCCCGCCCGTCTGAGTCCCACACCAGCTCTCAGCCAGGCGAAGGAGGTGAAGCCCTGTCTTAGCAAAGGCGCCTTCCAGAGGCCAGAGCCCCTCCGCCCCAGCCCGAGGGAGCAGGCCCAGGTGGTCGGCCCAGGAATCCACAGGCAGCTGGAGCCAGGAGGCAGGACACAGAGGGAGAGTCGTGGAGACCACGACAGTGGTCAGCCGCCTGCGATGCCGCCGGAGGAGGTCACGGGCGCCCATCTCTAGGCTCCAGGCCCCCTTTGGGTGCTGGTGTGGCAGGTCACCTGGGCCACATGTGCTCTCCATGGGGTGGGGCTGCTTCACTCCCGCTTTACCGGAGAGGAAACTGCTGCCCTCTCACCGCTGGGACTCCACCCTGCCCATCCCCTCTCCCATGGGTCACCTGCTCCTCCGGAGGTGACCCGCCTCGTCCCAGTGCCAGAGGGAGCCGGAGGGTGGGGGCCCTCAGAGCCCCTGGTCAAAATTTGCACAGAGCTGATCCCAGATTCACATTCACACACACACTCCGTCTGACGGTGAGAGGGATTTTTTCCCTCCCTCTTCCCCCTTTAATTAAAAACTATAAATGCCTTATCAAAAGCTAATTAAAAATACCAACACAGTGCCAAGTGGCAAAAAAAAAAAAAAATCCAGCTCAGTACAAATATCCATTTATAACCCTGCAACAGGCTGTGATGACACAGCAGTTGGGAGAGCAGGAGCAGCTTGGGCCACTCTCCGCCCTCTCGGTGACACTGGGGGGCACCTCTCTGCCCAGCCTGTGTCATCAAACCGAACAGGCCACAAGGGAAAGGCTCCCAGGCCTCCCTTAGGCTCAGCTTCAGGTCCGTGAAGAGAAGGCCGCTCTCAGGGAAGCAGTGAGAAGACACTGTGCAGGCGACCCCGACCCGGAGCATAGCAGTTAGACTCCGCCGGCCCGGCTCGCGGCATAACAGAGGCCCCCAGGCTGAGACTCCACAGGCACTCACTGTGCCAGGCCCTCTGCTTTGCCTTCACTGGGTTGTTTGCCTTCTCTGCGGGAACCTATGATGAGTACCACTGTGATCCCCACTTTACAGATGAGAAGACTGAGGCACAAAGAGGAGAAGCCACTTGCCAAGGGACACAGCTGTCACCGGGCTCTGCCACCTGAGTCTCTGCTCTCACCCACTGCCGACTGGCTGAGCTGACAGCAGCGGTGGGTCCCCATTCCTGCACAAACCCCAGTAGGGATTAGGGGTCTCCGCATCCCTGGCACCAAGTTTTTATGACTCGTGTCAAGCTGCCTCCTTGCTCTGCGTCCCACAACCCCGCTGGCTCAGGACCCAGCCCTGACACCACCCCAGCCCGGCTCCTCACCGCTGCTCCGGGGGTAGGCGGCAAGGGTCCCATCCTGCAGGCCGGCAAACAGGTGCAGGGGGCCGTGCCGCAGGCAGAGCACGGGCTGCAGGCCGGGGCTCCGGCAGGTCGCCAGGCACTGGGTGCCCGTGTCCACACTGCTGTAAACCAGGATGCTGCAGGGAGAGGCCCTCGTGACTCACTCAGCCCTACTCAGCCCTGCCCCACAACACTCCCGGACTGTGGGGGGCTCATGGCTCCACACGATGGAGGCACTGATCGACCCCAGGCTGCTGAGCCTCAGTCCTCTCCCCCAAAATGGGGCAATAATGCCTACCTCACAGCCCCACAGCCCTAAAAAGTGATGAAGCACTGACATGCCACAGGGGTGAGCCCTGAAAACATGACACCCAGTGAGAGGGAGGTGAGGCGGCTCACCATGCACCCTGCTTCTGTGAAACAGCCGGAGGAGACAGATCCACAGGCAGAGAGCACCCGGGGGGCCTGGGAGGCGGGGGACAGGGCTGCTCAGTGGGCATGGGTTTTCTTTTAGGGTGATGAGAATGTTCTAGAACAAGACAGCGATGCTAGCTGTATGTGGTGATTTACGAGTCCCTGAATTACGCAATTTAAAATGGTCAACATGAAAAAAAAGTGACCTATTGTGTTTCACAACATGCTGAGTGATTATGTTGCATGCCTGAGACTAACACGATGCTGTGTCAACGAGATCTCAATTTTTAAAAAGAAAGTGGGAAAAGGGCAAAAAGGTGAATGTCACGCTACGTCTGTTTTATCTCATTAAAAACGGAAAAGGTGTTGACCGGGCCCTCTGAGCTGGGGCCGGGCTGGGCAGGGGCTGCAGCCCCAGGCCTGGACTTCACGGCGCCTGCAGCGTCTCCAGGCTGGTTCTGTGTGTGCCGGTTTTTTGCTCCTCTCTCGGGTTCTCACATGGGAAATAGGGGACACACAGGAGCTGCTGTTGGGCCCAGGGAGCAGCACATAGTAGTTGCTCAGAAAGTACCCTGTCTCCCCTCTTCCCTCACGGGAGGACGGGCATGGAAGACAGAGATGCAGGGAGGATTTGGAGGAGGGACCAGTGCACACTTCAGGGCAGACCCTGGCCCACCTGGCTTCCCTGACCAAATGTTTGCTGACTCGCCTGCTCCAGGCATGGCCTACAGGGGCTCCCTTCTCTGCAGAAGGGCATAACTTGGGGCTGCCCAGACCCCACCCACTCTTCTAAGGGTCAAGGCGAAATGTGGTGGACGCTGTAGGTAGGTGACCTCTAAGTGACCTGAAGGCAGCATGGGCCACATGTCCCACTGGACTCTCAAAGCAGTATGGGGGGGGAGTGGCTTGAACCCCCACTTTACAAAGGCCCCAAAGAGAAGAAATGCCGGTTTTCAACTCGGCACCGGCTGACAGCAGTGCCAGCCACTCTGGCCGCGCACTGCCTGGAGGGAGGTGTCCAGTTAACTGCTGCGCCAGGCGCCCCAGGCCCCACCTTCCATCCCCCACCTGCCTGCCCGCCCCACCTCCCAGGCTATCCTCAGCCTCCCCTCCAAAGGTCCTCACCTGCCATCCTGGAGCCCCAGGCAGATGGTGGGGTGCACTGCAGCCGAGGGGTCAGCAGCTGTGCCGCTTTCCTCTCTGTCTCCGTCTCCGCTCTCCCCCTCCTCTGGCTCTGGAATGTACTCCATGCACAGCACAGGGGCCGCCAGCGGGAAGGACTTGACCGTGCGGGGCGACGGCCGGTTCAGGGAGAAGATCTCCACCTGCCCCCCTGCACCTTCCTGCCCGCCCCCGACCTGGGGCAGAAACCCAGAGCAGCTGTTAGGCAGAACCACAAGAGCAGAGTGGGGCTCAGCCACTGCCCTCCCAGTGACCTCCCCAAACCTCTCCTTGCCACCAGGGCTGACTATCGAGAGGAGCACGCCCCTGTTGCCCACACACATCTTGCTGTCACTGAAGGTCACTCATCCCCAGCTGCCACGGCAACAAGTTAGATTCGGGACCCATAGGAAATCAGGTACGGAGGTAAGCTGGCCTAGATACCCAGTCAGCGAGTCAGACGAGCCTCCTTGTCTGCAGTGTGCATGTCAACTAACAAACAGTGAAAACACACTTTCCCCTTTTTCTATAAAACGTCCTCTGTCCACACTGTTCTTCTGTGTCTACTCTATGGCACTTAATATATACTGGATAGATGGATGGATGTTTGGATACAAGGACGGATGGGTGGATGGATGATGGATGGATGATGGGTGGGTGCGTGGGGCAATGAATGGATGATTGGGTGGATGTACGTAGATGCATGGGTGGGTGAATGGGGGATGGGAGGGCAGGTGGGTGGTGGATGGGTAGATACACCATGTGCTAGGTATCTGGGAAACAGTGAAGAACAATCACCCTCAGAAGGGACACTGGGGCTGGACTCTGAAGGGTGAGTCACAGTTTTCCTGCCAAATGCCCAGAGACAGGAACAAATAGAGGTTAGAGGACGGACACGGGGTGGTGAGGGAACCTTTGGTGGGGGGGTCTATGGGAAGGCATTATCTGCATGAGGAACATGGGGGTACCTAGTCAAATCAAGAGAGGCTTTGCCAAGAACCCAGGGGCAGAAAGGGAGGCTGGGATATCCATAAGAGAGAAGCAATAACCAGCCCTGCTTCCTGACCGCGGGGTAGCCTGGCACCCAGACACTCTGCACATCGTGTTTCCCTGTGGGGCTAGGGCCGCCATGCAGGGGTCAGGCTTCTGTGTTCAGCCCTGGTTTCCTGATGTCCCCAGAGGGGCTGTACCTGCCATCTCCAAATACGGAGCCTGGCACAGCAGTGCCCAGGAAGACTGGCCAGGAAGGTGCACAAATGGGCCCAGCGGGCAGGCACTTTCTCCAGCACCCCTCCCAGATGCCACCCGCCTCCCCACCCCATTCTTGGGCCAAAAACCCTGGCTGGGTGCAGGGGTGACTCACCCAGAGGTAGCCCTGTGGAAGGGAGGTGCTGACTGCTGAGAAGCCCAGCAGGGGGTAGCTGACAGGACTGTGGACCAGGGCTCCAAGCTGCGAGACAGAGACAGCACACATGGCGTTAAGTGTCGAGGGGCCTCCCTGCTGGTATCTGGCAGCAGGACCTCTGTCTGAACCACCTGGGTGGGCCTTTAAACCTGATTCCTGAGCCCCACTTAGGCCCAAATGAGAACCCCGAAGGGCGGGGCTGGGAAAGAACACCTTAGCAGGTTCTCCAACAGACTCTATGCATGCACATTGGCCTTGCACTTCTAGAACCTTCCAGCTAGAAGGAGCCTGAATGGTACTGTGGACCAGCAGAGCAACTAAGTGACTTCCAGATAAGAGTCATTGAAAACCACTCACCCACCCCCTTATTTTAAAGATGGGGAAAAAGAGGTCCACAAAGAACACACAGTAGCCCCGGGACCCAGGAGGGCAAGAAGCAGGGCCCCACCTGACCGTCTCCCTCCTTGACTTTCCTGCATTTCTCCAGAGAGGCACAATGGAGGAGGCGGGGGTGCTGGAGATGTGGGCTTCCCCACCTCAGCATCAGAACCACTCTTCGGGCAGCCGGCCAGGGCCAGAGGGCCGACCAGCTGGCTTGTGCAGGCTGCTAGTGCAGCTGGGGGCTCTGTCGGTGCCGAGCTGCCCCAAGAACCCTAGACTGCCTGCTCCACCTGCAGCTGCTGCCCCAGACCCAAGCAGGTGACTCTCTGTTTGCTGGGCTAGAATGGCCAGTCTGTCTCTCTGGCCAGGACAGCAACACGAGCTGGCCAAGCCCTTTCTCAGACCTTGCTGGGACTCCCCACAAGACAGGGAAGGGGAAAGAGGCCAGGTCTGGACAGTAAGAAGAGGCTCCAGAGAGGATGGAGGTGCCAGGGACTCTTTGCAGGCCGATGCTGCCCTCTGCTGGTGCTGAGGCTCCGGTCAGCCCCAGCCCTGTTGGAATACTCTGCATTTCTGACGGCCACAGGCGAGGGGGCCCAAAGACATCGGCCCAGCCAGCCCCCTCATTTAGGAGATGGCAGACTTGACGCTGGGCAGAGGGACTGGGGGATGGGACCGGTTCAAGGTCATATAGCAAGTCAGTGGCAGAGCCAAGCCTGGAATCGGGTTTGGACTCGTAGCGCAGCACCTCTCATCCTCTGGCTGAATGCTACCTAGAGGCCAGGCCGCCATACTGGAAGCCTCTGCACTCGGGGCCCACTTCCACCCGGGGGGACCATGGGTCCAAATGCACAGAGCAGGGGGCTTCCCCTGCCTGACCACCTGAGCACCCTCGGGCCCTGCCCCATCACTGTGGCCCCCTCCAGCCCAGGGTGCTTGCCCTTTCTCTCTGCCGGGCTGCTGTGCTGGTCCTCCCAGAGGGGAGGGGGCAAGCGAGTCCGGCCTCAGGTGTTTCCATGGCAACTCCAGCAGGCCCCGGATGCCAGCTGAGTCCACAAAGCCCGGGAGCAAGATAATGGCAAAAACTCACACAACCCCTTGGACAGGCAAGGCCCTGGACCCAGATATCCTGTGCAAAGCAGCCAGTTCCCCCGAAGATGCCCCGGTGTGGTGTGGAGAGGGAAAGCCGGAGGAGAGAGAGTGGACACAGGCTTCCAGCCGGCCAGCCTGGCCCCGGCCCCAGCTCAGCTGCTGCCAGCAAACCAGGCCCTCGTCTCCTCAGCCGGACGCTGACATCCCGCCAGGTGGCTGTGGGGACTGGAGAGGGACAGGAAGACCCTCGCACTGAGGACACAAAGGGCCAGACACATGGCAGCAGCTGCTGCTTGGCCAGGACTGTTCTAGCACATTCTCATTCATGGGTAGGGCAACGTTATGAGGGAGGGCTGTTAGTGAGCACCTGTGGTAGTTAGGAGACAAGGGCCCCGCACCTAGCAGTTCTGGCTGAGGGGGAAGACAATCAGGACAGAGGCTACTAGATTGGGCAAAGGCCTAACCGAGCCAGCGACAGGCCCTCGGCAAGGCTGGGCTGCAGCCCCCAAGGCCTAAGGCACTTGTGTTTTACAGCACCTCAGTGAGAGCAGTCCCCACACCCCCAAGTCCCCAGACTCATGCCCCAGGCCTCCAGGTTGGACCTCAGGCCGACCGGGAAGAGCTGGGTTGGCAGGTCCTTCCCTTGCCCTCCAGGGACAGACATCCACCTTGGATGGATCTGGGGTCCAAGAAGGATCTCCCCACATCTCAGTGGCCAGGCCTTCAGAAGCCCCCCCAAACAGACACCAGGGCTTTTCCTTCCTGGAAAGTGTCCTCGGAAATTCCCTTCCATTCCCTCGACTCTGAGGCCCGCCACGCAACAGGCTAATACAGGGTACCTGGGCAGTATCATAATCATCCTCACGACAGCCCAACAGAGGAGACCGGGACCCCCCATTAACACTGGGGACATGGCTGTGATGCTGCGAGCTGAAGGGCCTTTCTGGTATCGCAGGGCTGGGGCCCCAAACCCAGGCGTGGCCCCCGTCTCACCCTTCCGCTCACCCCATCATTCATCCATGAGCAGGAAGACCTAGGGGGTCCAGGCAGTGTTCAGCACTGAGACACACTCCTCCCTCAGACCCCCACAGCCCTGTCCCCCAAGAGAAAAAGCCCAGCACCCCATGCAGCTGGCCACACGAGAGTGCTGAGCACATGTGCATAGGGGCGGGGCTGGGGTAGCAGGTCTCTCTGGAGATCAGATGCAGGGCAGACTCCCCCAGGCCCGGGGCGCTGGGACCAGGCCTGGGGAGGTGAGGGGGGCTGGGAGGGAGGCCAGGCGGGGCCGACAAGTTCACATCTGCTCCTGCAGTAACTGAGCCAGGCCCTGGCACGCCAAGGCCCCCATTCATGCGGCTGCAACTTGGAGCGGATGGGGCACATCTGTGTGGTGTGAGTGGGAGGTGGGCTCAGGCAGAGCGGGAATGACATCTTGGCCCAGAAAATGGGGGTACACAGGCTCTGGTGTGTCCCCCAGGAGCTCCACAGGCCATCACCCGAGGAGACTCACAGCTCCCTTGGCTCACGGGGGGCTCCTCAGGAGATGGCAGGCAGGGACCGGGCAGCACTGAGGAGGCTGCCAACCTAGGTATACCCAGGCCCCAAAAGCGCCAAATGAGAAGCTTCTCAGGTCCTCATCCCCAGGTGCAAGGCAGCAGACAGGTCCCCGCTTGGGTGGGTTTATTTCAGGGAGGCCCTGGGGGCAGCAGTCTGCCTGTGGCCACCAGCCACATGACCTGAGAGGCCCAGGGCCCTACGGGGAGACAGGGTCACCTGGTCAGCCTTCATGGGATGTACTAGGCCAGGCAAGCCATGGGCAGGGTGGATTTAAATAATCCCCATTCTACAGCTTGCACCCCTAAAAACGCCCCAGGCAAGGAAGTTCACGAGAGTCAGCAGGCCTCCCTGTTGATAAACAAAGACTGCAGCCCCATAAAAGCGGAGGTTCCTGAGCCTCACAGATGTGATCAGGATCCTGGGCTCCCCCAAAAATGATTGGCAAGGCACCGATGCCGTGCACGGGCCAGGCAAGCTGTGCGGGAGTGTGATCGCCTGGGCAGGAAAAACCACGGGCTCCTGACTCAGCCTCTTCCCCCTGAACAATGGGACCAGACCCTCACTGTCTCATGGGGTGCTGGGAGGGTAAAATGCAGGGGAGCACCGAGGTCAGGGCCTGAAACCTAGACACCTCCGGGAGGGCCCCACCGCCAGATTGTCGAGATTGACTGAGTTTCAGTCACGCAACCACTGCTGGGTGGTCTTGTCACTGTCACTGCCGCTCTTCACTGAGCACCGGCCACAAGGCAGGCTGTGCTGGGAACCCAGTCCCATCTCGAGCTTGATGAACCCCTAAATCAGCCTGTGGCCCCAGAAACACAACACCACCCTCTGCCACTGTGGTCCGGGCCCACACCCTTCCCCTCCGTCATGTCCAGCACCCCCCTTGCACCGATTGGGCAGTCCTACCCCAGTGCACTTCCCAGAAGCATCCCACACCCCAGCCATTGGGGCGAGGCAGATGGGGCCGAGGGCATGGCTTCGGGGAGAGGCCTCCCCACAGGGGCTAACTTCCAGGGGGCGACCAAAACACTCAGACATCAAGGGAAACGGTTTACTGCCGTTTTTTAAAATTAAAAAAAAAATGCTCCCCCCAAATCCATGATGGGCAATGACCAGGAGTTTAAATAAAAACAGGGCCTGGCCATGAGCTTGCACGGCCCTGTCCACCCTAGCCCCAGCCCCTGATTCCAAAACAAGCAAGCCCGCAGCTTGCCCATCTGATTTGGTTTTTAACATGTTGTGTTAAAGCACTGCTCCTCTTGGTGATGAGACTGCTGGTGCCCAGGAGCACGGGACCCAGCCCAGCCAACGCCCATGCCCAGCTGAACCCCAGCCCCGCCCCCTCCTGCCCACAGCTCGCGCTTGGCCAGAAGGATCAAATGATCCTCCCGAAACACAAGGCAGGTCGTGCCAATCCTCTGCTGGAGCCGCCCTTGGCTTTCCATTGCTCTGAGAATGAAATCCAACCCCGATCGGGCCTGTGAGGCCAGCGCGGCTCAGCACACACACCCTCTGACCCCACAGCCGCCTCCTTCCGCTGGCTCGTGGGGTGCAGCCACACCAGGCTTCCTGACGGCTCCTGGCAGGCCTTGGTGTGGTTTGTCTGAAATATTCTTTCCCATCGCTTCTCTGCCTTTTGGCTAAGATCAAGTGAAATATTCTTTCCTGGACTCCCATGGGGTTGCATCCTTCTTGCTTTGGGGTCTCAGTTTAGATGTCATTTCCTCCAAGAGGCCCTGACCCCTAATTACGTGGCCATCTCTGGACCTGTGACATCACTGATTTATCTTCTTGAGAGGACACACTGCTCTTGTCTGGTTCCTCGTTTGACCGACTGGGCATTGCCTCCCTCTCTCTGCTAGACTGAAAACTGTACGCATGAGAGAAGGGATATTCCATCTCAGGGCCTGGAACTCTGTAGATGTTCCAAAATTACACGCAGAATGGACGGATGAATGAACAACACTGCAAGAGCATGTCCTTGGAGCTACAACGTGCCCTCGCGTGCAGCCACTCGGCTCGTCCCTCGGGGCTTATGCATCTGGGCCTGAGTCCCAAGCTTGCTCTCCGCCCCCAGAGCTCAGTGACTTGGCCTCCTTGAGAGGAAAAGGGCAGGAACTGCCAGGTGGAGGGGCAGGGCAGGAGGGACAGATAAAAACCCGGGGTTGGGATCAGGCAGGGCAGGGATCCACTCCCTGGACCCATCCTTGTTGGCTGTGTCACTTCTAGAAAGTCATGTCACCTGTCTGAGCTTTAATTTCCTTACCTGTGAAATAGATCGAGAAACATCCAGTCACAGGGTTCTTACAAATCTCAACATGAGAGCATGGTGGGACGTCCTGGGGGAGCACCATGGGTGCTTGACATGACAAGCACCATGGGTGCTTGACATGTCTCCTGGGGGAGACATGACAGCCCCCATCCCCATCCCCATCCCCCGACTCCCACCGTGCCTCCCGGAGGCGTCACAACAAGCTCAACCCACAGAGTCCAGCACAGCCACCTGGGCCTGTTCTCACCTCTCTAAGGAGCTAGGCCATGGTGCCTGACATCACCACCACAGGTTACCGCTGAAGAACACCATCTACCCCCATTTTTTGTGTGCGGGAAGCTGCCACCGAGCAACAACAAGACCCAGCCCACTAGCAGCAGGAAGCCGGGACAGGAGCTGGACACTGGCCTGCTCTGCTGCGGGCACGGCCTCCAGGAGAAGGCGGAGGGCTCAGCCACATCGGCTCCACTCACCTGCAGGCTGAGGCCCCGGGAGGAGAAGGCAGGGATGCAGCAAGCCAGGAGCGGACACCAGAACGGGGCTTTGCTCTTCTTGTCCTCATCTGGACAGAGCCAGCCTGGCTGGTTCTCTTCCCCTGCGGCAAAAGGAAGGAGGTGGGTGACGAGGTCAGGTCAGGGGGACCGAGAGGGCAGCAAGTTGCCCTATGAGACCAGGGAGCCGCTGCAGGTCATGGGTCCCAGCCAGGGAGTCAGGAAATCTAAGGTTTGAGTCCCGGCTTGACCACCCAGCTCCTGAGCAACCCTGGGCCAGTCACCCCAACTCTCTGAGCCTTTATTTCTTCACCTATAAAATAGGGACAATAAAAATGCCTTCATCCTATGGCTGTTATGAGGATCCAGTGGCAGAATCAATGGGGGAAAGTCTCAAAAAACATTAAGACACTGAATTGAGACCTGGCCCTGTGACCCTGACCTTCCAGAGACGGAGACGACTGAGGCTACTGCAGCACGCCCTGCTGCCTCACCCCTGTGTGATGACAGGGAAGAGGAGACTCTCCTGCTTCCTTCCTGGCTACCCTGAAACCTCAGCGGGCACTGCCTCCAGGTCCCCCGTCCAGCCGGGCATCTTCAGGGACCTGTTACCAGTGCAGACACCAGGCGAGCCCAGACCCCTGGACTCCATTGGGCACTAAGCCACGTTTCCAAGGTGGTTCACTCATGTGGGCCAAGGCCCCCATGTCGCCACGTCAGAGCCCACCTGAACACCCTCACTGTGGTGGCCCCTTCGCTCAGGAGCCAGCTGAAGACCCTGCATTTCCCGCACCCCCTTCATCACAACCTGGCAGCGCCGTGTTCCTTATTTACAGCTCCGACCCATTCACCTCTGGACTGTAAGCCCGGGCCACAGGGGTCTGGGCTGACTTGCTCACTGCTGTCTCCCCGGGCCCCAGCACACTGCTGGCACAGTAAGTGCTCAGCGAACATGGGCTGAAAGGACGAATGAGTGGGTGAATGGGAGAGTGAGCAAACCGCCCTCTCTCCCGAGGGATTCTCCCTGCCAAGGAGCCTGTCCTTTGCTTCACATAACCACAGCCTTACTGGGAGACTGATGGCAGGGGCAGGGCAGGGACAGGGACAGGGCAGGGTAGGGCAGGGGTAGGGCAGGGTCAGGGCAGGGCAGGGTAGGGCAGGGGTAGGGCAGGGACAGTGCAGGGTAGGGCAGGGGTAGGGCAGGGCAGGGTAGGGCAGGGGTAGGGCAAGGACAGTGCAGGGTAGGGCAGGGACAGGGCAGGGACAGTGCAGGGTAGGGCAGGGGTAGGGCAGGGACAGGGCAGGGCAGGGGCAGGACAGGGCCCCACTAAGATGCTTCCATATGCCCTGCAGGCTCACATCGAGTGCTGCAGGCCTGTTCCCTGGCTTCGCTGTCACGCTAACCAAGCACAGTAAGACTAACAGTTGCCAGTTTATGAACAAGACTGACACTCGGGGATTAAGTGGGTGCATGGCCAGGTGGTGAAGCCCAGACGGGGACAATGGTCTGTCTGACTCAGAGGCTGGGTCTTTAGCCTAAACCCTGTGATCTTCCCACAGATGCTTCCAGCACAACTGACCCTGGCTGAGGGGACACTGGATGACCCCCAAGAGCCATGGGTGCTGGACAGGGCGCCCCAGGAGAGGAGGCCACTTATAGAATGACATCAAACTGAGGTTCTGGAGATTTGGAGGTGGGAGGAGAGGTCACCGGTGAGCAGCCATTATGGCAGCCCTCCCACCACCCACACAGCACTTGGTGGCACAGGGAACACAGCTGCACACCTGCTCACCTAAGGAGGAAAGGTCAGCTTAGCCCACAAGTGCCCACTGGTCACTGACCCGTCTCCCCACTCTAACTTCTGCCCCCTACAGTCACACTTCCCCCCAGCAGCCAGACCCCCCCGTCCCGCTACCCTTCCTCCAGGTCCTGCTCTTCCCCTCCTTAAGAAGGTCCATGGAGTCTAGCTCCACTTGGGATAAAACTGGAACTTTTCCAGAGGGCTGCAGGAGGCTTCCTCCCTCCAAGCCTCATTCTAGGTGCTCCCTCTGCCTGGAACGCCGTCCTCTGCTCTCTCCAAGGCCGCCCCTCTCCTGCCAGAGGTGCACGTTAAGCATGCACCTTCTGGCGTGGACATGACTGACCCCCCCCACCCCCCATCTCCCTGTCTCAGCCCCATTGTATGTCTGGCTCTTACCATCATTACAGCTCTGCTATGGGCTTGTCTCCCTCCCCGGATGTGTGATCATTTCATGTGTGTCCATGTGTGCTCTGTGCACATGTGTATGCATGTATCCGCCTGTGCATCTGCATTGCCTTATACATGTGCGCTGTGTGCATGTGTGTGCATTATGTGTGCCTTGTGTGAGTGCACATGTGTGCATGTGTGGTGTGCCTATGTGAGCATGTGCCTTGTGTGTATATACATTGTGTGTGAATGTGTGCTTCGTGCGTTGTGTACATGTGCCTTGCGTGTGGGTACTGTGTGCATGTGTGTGTGTGTACAGTGTGTGTGCCTCTTCTGTGATGGTGTGTGCATGTGTGTGTGTGCATGTGTGCACATGTGTGTGTGCACATGCACCCATGGACTCCCTGCTACACCCATATTTCATGAAGGCAAAAACTTCCCCAACATCTACTCCACACCCCTCACACAGGGCTGGACCCACAACAGCCCACACATGCGTAGCATGAACAACAACTTTTCCTGGAGTCTCATTTTCAGGATTTGTCAAATGGGTACGGCCACCGTGACTCACTTTCATGCAAGAGAGAGGGGGGACATGAGCGAGGACCAGTCGCCAGGAGAGCAGTCCCCACACCTGCACCCAGAGAACACTGGAGAAATGCCATTGCCGGAGAGGGGAAAACAGGGGTCCCTGAAGGAGGACAGAGCCTGGTTCCATAGGAAGAAGACACCGTAGAGAGAGTCTGTGCAACAGAACCGTCCTATCAACAACGCTTTGCTATGCTCTAAAAAATATCACGAGTGGCAATCATGGTAACAATAAAAGAGAGAGCAGGAGGGGACTGCGGAAGGGCTGGTGTGTTTGTGGCCCAGATTGTGGCGATGGTCTAACAGGTGTGCACGTATCTCCAAACTCACCACATTGTGCGCACTAAACACACACAGCTCCCGTGCTCCAATCGTACATCAACAAAGGGGCTTTTATTTATTTTTTTTTTATAAGTTTTTTTTTTTTAAAGAGGCATGTATTTTATTCATTTATTTATTTGTTTTGTTTTGTTTTGTTTATACAAGCACTGGGGTACAGTCAGAAGCGCGGGAGGGTGAGAGAATTCACCAGAGCCAGAGCGGGGAGCAGAGCAGGCAGAAGGACCGAAGTACACTGCTGAGGGGAGCAGCGGGCGGCAGGAGAGGTCTGCGCGCCATGTGGGACCCTCTTCCGGTGGCCGGGGAGCAGCCAGGGATCGAACTGGCGCCGCAGAGGCCGCGGGCAGCTTTGCAACCCAGCGCTCAACCACTGCGCCACCGGGGCCAACAAAGGGGCTTTTAAAAAAATGTCATTGCCACCAGCCAGTCGCGGCAAGCGGTGCTGGAAGGAGATGGCAGGTCCAGATGCTCCTGAGAGCTGAGACCTTCGTGGACATCAGGCATTGCCACGTGAGCAGGGGTGGCAGAAGTGCGGCCCCTCCTGCGGGCAGAGCTCACTCCCCAGTCGGGCCCACGAGGCCTGGGGACAGTCCTGAGACCTGGTTCCCACCTCAGAGGAGAGGCCGGTGGGGGAAGGACAACTCCAGACAGGCGTCACCTCACAGAAGGACCCTCGTGCACCAGACCCACGCCACACCGTGCCCGGCAGCGCTCACAACCCCAGCTCCCTGCCAGCAGCTTCCCTCGGGCACCAGCCGTGAGCTAACCCCGCCCCCATCGCCATGGTGCCCCCAGCTCGCTCCCCTTCCTCGCTTTCCTCTCCAGGCACCCACAGCCCATCAAGTCCCAGCAATGTATTATTATATATATTTTTAATGATCTGACCTTCTCCTTCCAGATGGTGCCTTCCTGACTGCAATTGGGAACGTTAAAAGAAAATGGAGTTGTTTCTCCCCATCTGCCGCTGCCATTGTTCCCGTCACAAAACCAGAGCAGCGGAGACCAAATTAGAAGGCTGTTGCCACTGAAAATTGAAAGCCCGCTTGGGATAAGTCACATTAGGAGCTGCTATCAACGGCAAAGCCGTGATTTCCAGCTGACATTAACTGGGGGCTTATTTAGCACCCGACTATGTTTGCCAGCACCCACAAAACACAAGGGCACCCCACAGGACCAGGGTGTAGGCCATGACCCCTTCAGCTCCCCACCCCCAGTACCTTCAGAACAGCCCTGCTGGCCACAGAGGCTGATGCCACAAATCCCAGCTCAGCTCCCAACTTGCTGGGTGATGCTGAGCCGCACACCTAACATCTCAGCGCCGCTGCCAACCATTAGCGGTGCAAGCTCTGGAGAGAATATGCTCTACCACGCCCAGCACATACCAGCGCCCACAGCCACCAATGCACCACCATGGGGCCACCTCTCCAGCCCCTCCTGGGCCTCCCCAACGCCTCCTGCATGGGGGGCCAGCGCCCTGCCTTCCCCACCACAGCTGCCCAGTGGACAGTCCAGGCTGCTCTTCTCTATCTTCCTCAAATAAAGGCTCCCTCCACCCCCACACCACAGGGCCACCGTGGGCCACAGACACCAAGGCTGGCAGGACTCAGCAGGGGTCTTCTCCAAACACCCCGTTCATGCAGAGAGAGACACTAGTGTCCAGGGAAGCCAAGAGAACAACCACGGTCACTCCGTGGGGGTAAAACTCCCACGAGGTCCCAAGGCCAATGCCTTCAGCCCTCTTAGAGGACAGACCCCTGCGAGGGCTCTAGCAGGTCCCCAAGTCCACCTCCAGATGGCTGCAAAAAAGAGGATGAAGGTGAGAAGTCCATGCAGACCCCAGGATCAGCTAGGACTCCATCACCAGGGCCACACGAGGTGAGCCGGGGTACCGAGGGCTGGAAATGAACCACATCAGAGGCGGCGGCCACATGGACATGTCCCGTGAATGTGACACTGGCCCACAGTCTGCCAGCCCAGATTGTCTGGGGAGGTGTGAACGGGGAGGCCATGCAGAGAGGCCCGCAGGTGGTGGAATGTAAGGATCAGGTCTGCAGAGCTACCACAGTTTGGGGACACCCAGAAAGGGAGCCCCAGTCACCCCCAGCCTTGCCTATCCCTCCTGGGGATCTTCCATCTGCAGCTCTTCCTGGGGCCTTGATAAACGGGAGACTAATTGGTAGAGAGAGACAGGAGGGACTCAGCCTGTGTGGCCTTAACAACCGCAGCCCCACCTGGGAGCTGCAGGCCCCTGTCCTGTCCTTGTTGCTTCTCCCATGTACCGGGCCCTGACTGTCTCCCCGTATGCTCACAGGAACCCGCGATGGAGGCACTGGTATTCCCCCCACTTTCTGATGGCAATTCAAAAGGCATCTAGAGGTTTAATGTCCTGCCCGGGGTGACAGAGCTGGGAACTGCACCCAGGCAGTCTGGCGCCATGTCACTAAGGACTGAGACCCCAAAAGGCAACAGGGGGAAGCGCCCATGGGAAGGAGCCTGCCTTTTCCGGACTACCTGGCACAGGGGTGAGAACTGGGTCCTCAGATTCCCCAGGAACCCCCTGCCATGGGGCAGAACTGACCCCCCTGGGCCCTAGGCACCCCCACTCCATCCCTCGCCGGACTCCATCTACAGTGGATCATGACCTCGGCACACTCCAGTCAGAGACTGAGGCAGACACAGACACACACACAAAAAAATTAAAGGAAGAACATCCTTTGTGAATAAATGTTTTTCAGATATTCTATTTCCAAAGGGCTCCTATCATCCGCTCCCCCCAACCAGGCACTGCAGATAAAAAAACAAACTGGCAAAATAAAAGGAACAAATTATTCAAGCCCCAGGGGAACCCCGGCATTCAAATAAGATTTCAAATGACTCTCCTTCCATTAAAACTTTGCAGCAGTGAAAGTGCGTAGAGATGAGGCGGCTGAGAACTGGGATGCCCACGCCAGTCAGCTCCGGTCCCTCCCACGCCGAGCCCCGCCAGCAAAGTGCTTCCAACGGGAGACTGACCTGGCTTTACAGCAGGTGTGCAAACAGGACTGGACCCTGGCCAGAGACGCAGTGCCCGTGGGCAGGGATGGAGCCTTTCGTCTTTCCTTGGGCCAGAATGCCCGCCAAACTCTGCTGGGGCCCCCAGCGGTAGCCTTAACGTAAATTCCTTCTTCCACCCTCCCCGGGCCCCCTGGTCACCCAGAAACATTCAGTGGAGGCCTGTGCAACATCAGCAATGAGCTAAAGAGAAGCCTCTGACCCCGGCTCCTCCAGAGTCACAACCCCCCACTTCCATACCTGCTCCCCTGGCTCCCTCTCTGAGCGGCAGCCAGAATGATCCACTTAAATGGAAACCAGGTTGTGACATCATCTGGATCTGAGCTAAAACAAAGGCTTCCCCTCATGTCCAAACACTGCACAAGTCTCACCTTTGCTTTCTGGAAAAACTCCCCCAGCTTCCATCTATCTACTTCTCTCCCCCATTCATCAATTCTGGCTACCTCAGGACTTTTGCACTTACTGTGGCAAAGCTTGGGTCCCTGTGCCCAGCTCTCTGCATGGCTTCAGATGTCACCTCCTCAGAGGCCTTCCCTGATAGCTGTCCACTCAAGGCTCGGGGATGGTCACATCACCCAGCTCCACCCCCTTGACAGCACCCCTACTATAGATTACCCCTCGTGTGCCATCTGTCTGCTCCTCGCTGAAATTTCTTTGAGATCAGGGATCTTTCTGGATTCACCATTGCTCCATTCCCCTCTGTCTAGAAGTACTGCAGAGATTCAGTAAACAGCTTTTTAATTGATGAAAACCAGTGGTAGAATTCCTGGCTTTTTTCCAGAAATGCCTTAAAACCAATTGGAAATGTATACTTATCTATAAAAACATCATGCCAGAAACAAAAACCAAAAATGAAACTAAGAATATGTGCCGGCTATTAGCTGAAATCAGTAAAGGGGAATGTAGCACATGGCGCGTGGGGCTAAGCACTCCGACCGGGAAGGATCGGGGCCTTTCATCAATTCAAAAAAAAGCACAAATCAGGTAATTATCACTTAACAATGTGAATGAAGCCAAGTCGGGGAGCAGCGTGTGCAGCGGCCCCCTCCGCTGGGTGAGCTCAGATAAGTCCCCGGCCAGAACACTCAGCTGTTCACAGCAGCCCTGCCTCTTCGGACTGCTGTGCATGGGAAATGAAACAGTGCGTAAAACACTCTGAAGGTGCTCGCCGCGCCGAAGTCGCTGTAAATGCTTCTTGTGTGTCGCTATTGTTATTACGGGCACCAAGGAGGGAAAAAATGCAGACAAGTTCTTGGCTGAGAGTCAGTTTAGTCCAAGCTGCATCATTTTTTGGTAACAGCTTTACTGAGCTATAATTTAGGTGCCGTGAAACCCACTCTTTTAAAAGTGACTTTGCAGGTTTCTTACACTTCCAGAGGCAACCGCACCACGCTCTAGCTTCAGAACACCACATCACGCACCAAAAAGCCCTCTGCAGTTGCGCTGCATCACCCCATCCCCTGGAAACACTGATTTCGTACCTGTCAACTCCTGCCATTTTACAGATGGGGAAACTAAGGCTCAGAGAGGTGATGTGACTTTTCCAAGAGCCTCAGGATTCAGCAGCCTGGTCCCCACTGGTTCTCCACCTCCCCCTCCAGCTCAGAAGCCCCCGGCCCACCCCACGGGCACACTCAGCAGCGCCCACCCCCAGGCGCCCTCCCTAGAGCTTTACTCACGGAGTCCAATCTTAGCTAAGTGCAACCTGTTGACCCAAGAGATCTTGCTCAGGGGGTTGGGGGTAATGAAGACGACCATGAAGCTGATGGGACGACCAGACCTGTGGTGAGAGGGCGAGGGTAAGCACCAGAACAAGAGCCCAGCCCCCCCCCCCAACCCCCACCCCTGGGCATGCCCCAGCTCTGCCCTGGACACAGCCAGGTCAGCTCAGAGCACTGAGCATGGCCAGTGAGGTGGGGCCCAGCCAAGCCCCTGGCTCTGGGGGAGGAGGCCCTTCCCCCGCCATGACCCCAGGAGAGAGGTACCTCCCCAGCCCGGCCCAGGTGCCTTGCAAAGCCAGAGCAGGTTGGCCCAGCGGCTGTGACACAATGGGCCTTTTCGGGGCCCCACCCGGCCTGTTCTCGCAGGCTCCTGCACACCCGAGCAGGAGCCTCAGTGGACCTGTTTCCAGCACCTGGTCCCCAGCCATCGTTCAGTAAATGTTTGCTGAAGGGACACACGAATGAATGAAGAGATGAATGAGGGCGTGGAGCACAGGCTTGGGGTTGCGGGAGCATCAGCAAGACCCCTCCCCATCCATGCTGGCTGAGAGCCAAGGTTGCCATGCACTCCATGGCCACCCGCTGAGGCTGCACTGAGCACCAGGCCCTCTCTGGGCATTCGGGATGGGCGGAGCAGAGGCAGAGGTCGGTGAAAGGATACAGGGCTGGCACCAAGGCACAGCCTGGTCTGATGTGAGTGAAAAGGACACAGACAAATGAAACCGACCAATAGCAGCGGATCCTGTCAGAGCACTGGGCCTCCCCAGGTGTGATCGGCCCATTTGTTCATTCATTCATTCATTCATTCATTCACATGAGACCTACTCCATGCCACGTGCTGTGCTGGGCAAGGCGCTCGGTGTGTCCACGCCCACTGCCGTCAGAGCAATGCTGGTGTGGAGCCCTGACGCCAGGCACCCCTCTCTGAACTCTCCCCTCCGCCGGCGCCCCCTCCTCTTACTTGTCGGGTTTCCCAGGAAGCAGGAGCCGGAGGCGGCACTTGTTGGCCGAGTGGATCTCCTCCTCCTTCACCCGCATGAGCCTCTGCAGGGCCAGGCACCAGTCCTGAGCCACAGTCATGTTCAGGTTCTAGGGTTGAGGAGGCCAATGAGGTCGTCACATAGCCTGCCAGACCCCAAAGCCACCCCAGGTCCTAGAGAAGCCAGGTACCCGGCAAAGGTCGCAGGGAGCTTCGGGGAGGCAGCCTGCACCCCTCGCCCAGCCACAAGCAGAAGGATGACTCCCCACCGCCCAAGCTGAAGCCAGGTTTTCCCACCCTTGGTTCAGACCTCCACCTGGCAGCCCTAATTTGAGAGGGTAGCCCCTCTTCAGCCTTGGGCAATGCCCAAAAAGGGGCTGCAAGACCGGCTGTGCAGAGGACAAAAACAATTCCCAACAAATCACGCAACCTGGCCCCCTTCCCCCCAAACCTGAAGATCCCTCGGTGCAACCCAGAGTGCTAGCTGCTGCTGCTGCTCAGGGGACCTCAGAAGCCAGGGGCACATTGGGGGACTGGGCACGGAGAGACACCCCCAATGCTGCCTACCAAGTATGGGCACCGCCCTGGAGCCCAGCAAGGTACGGTCGGGCCACGCACCTGGTAGGTCCCATGCAGAGTGCTGATGAGGAGGGTGATCTGCTCCACCACCGCCAGGTCCTTCTGCAGGTCCTGCAGCTCCTGGAAGAGGCGTGGAGGTCCAAAGTACACCTTGTCTGGGCAGAGAAGAGACCCAACTCAGCCTCAGGGTGGGGCGCCCACAGGAACCCACTTGCTGCAAAAACAAAGGGTGGCCCTGGGATGGGCAGTAGAGTGACAGAAGGAAAGCTTCCTGGCTCCTGCCCTGCAGAGTGCCCCGCCCGCTGGTGAGGACAGACTTGACACGGGCAAAGTCTACCATCTGGGATTCTGGCCACACTCAGCCCATTCAGAGGGTGACAGGTGGCCGGGAATTGGCCCCACTGTGCCTGAGAGCACAGAGGAGACCTCATGGGGCCAGGCAGCGGGCAGCACTGGCAAAAGGAAGAACGACATGTCCAAAGGCACTGTGGCTAGAGGAAGTCCACGAATCAGAAGTCCACAAGTAGGTTCCAAAGAACCTACTGAGTGCCAGGTTCTATTCCAAGTGTTGGAGAGACAGCCATAAACAAGATGGGGTTCCTGCTCTTATGGAGCTTATGAGTTAGGGGTGCTGGGGGGCAGTCAATTGACAACTGCAGATGGTGAAAGGTACTGGAGAAAAAGACGATGTCAGGACAAAGGGACAGGGAGTGATGGGAGTGAGGACACCAAGATTTCTGGTGATGATACATACAAAGGTGGGGGCCTTATCTTGGGCTTTCATTGAGATGATCATCTGACTCACATGGGCACATCCTGAGCCACCCGACGTGGCGACGTAAAGCCAAGCCGGCTGCGCGGCGTCGGCTTCCACGACCTCCTTGTTCTCAGCGGCCATCTGCATGGCCGCCAGGTAAGGAGCAGGGAGCAAGGTGGGCGCGGGAGGCGAGGGACATGCTCACACCAAGGAGAGGGCAAAGAAGGGCCCTGCAGCCCCCCAAGTGGGGTGAGCTGGCTGGGAACTCGGGTGACCCTGAGGTACTCCGAGGAGGAACTAGGAGCACAGAGAGCTCCAAAGGCCCAGTCCCGTGAAAGGGCCACATCCATATTGGGAGCAATTTGGTTCCAGCACCACAGCATCATCCATCACATTAAATTAATGCTGTTGATTTGAATTTTATTGTTTCGTTGCTTCATTTTTATTCCATTTGTGACTTTGTTTTGGTTTTATAGTTGTTCGAGGGATATAAACATAAGGAGCTTATTACACCTAGTCTTATATTTGCACATATTTGAATAACAATATAATAAAAAATCATTCAAGGCCAGCTGGGGTTCAACCAGAATTCCTTTTTTCCCCTTTAAAGGGGTCTGGCAGTACATCGCTGGATTTGAGGAACATGGCCCAGGGTAGACAGTCGTTGAAGGGGTTCCCAGACAAGGGCTGCATTGCTGGGGGGATAGGGGGTGGGGCTGGGGCTGAAGGTGCCTTCCAGAGAGGTACTTGGGGCTGAGGACCCTTGGTGGGGGTGCTTCTGTGAACAGTGACTGGGGAACACACAGCAGCCTGTGCTGCCTCGGGGATCCTGGGGACAGACACTCAGCACCTGGGAGCGGGCACAGGGACCCCTCCAAGGTGCTTACTCCCACAGAGGTTCCAGAAGTCCAAGCTCCCCATGGGGTGGTGGAGACAGAGCCGTGACCCACAGTGGGGAGCGAGGGAGGGCCTCACAGAACCCCTGCAATTAGCACCTCGCATCCATTCAGCAAAGGTCTACTAGCACAGGAGGTGCCGGGCTCCAGGCAAGGGCTCCGGTCACCAGGAAGGTAGGTGCAAATACAGCAGGGCCCTGCGCCCAGGACAGGCACCTGCCCAGGTGAGGCCAGGAGAGGTTTCCCTGAGGAAAAGCCAACATAAGTCAAGACACACCAACACAAACCAGAAGGCAGAGAGCACTCTGGGAAAGCACAGAAACTGGAAGAAGGTCCAGGGCAAGAGGGAGCAAGTGGCCAAGCCAGGGCTGAGGGGCAGAGTGAGCCGAGGTGGGTGGTCATGGGCACCCCCAGGAAGACCCTGGACTTTATCCTGAGAGTGCTGGGGAGCCACTGGCAGACTTGGGGTGGTAGATCTGACCTGCATTTTAAAGAGTTGGCTCTGGGGGAGGGAGGAGGGTGGGCAGGAAGGGGGCAGAGGAGGAGCCAGCCAGGAAGCTACTGCAGCAGCACCAGGCCTGGAAGAGGTGGTCACCCTGAGGTCCTTGTCTCCTGACAGTCTGAGGGATGGTCACGACAGAGAAGGACAGTCCAGGGAGAATCAGACAGCCCTGAGCCTGATCCTCGAGGGTTCAGGGGGCAGGGCAAGTGTCACCTGGTTCCCTCACTGTACAGAGTGGTAAACTGAGGCACAGAAAGGTGGCAACATAGGAGGTAGGCGGAGGTCAGGCAGTGAGTTTTCTGACTCAACCAGGTGCGGGGTGGGGGGGGGGGGTATGTGTATGTGTGTGTGCCTGTTTGTGTGTGTATGTGTGTGTGTGCACGTTTGGGGTGATGTGGGTACTCACTCTGGGCCTGGGCGGTGGCCGTGGCCTTCTTGGCGCCGGCGTGCTGGATGAGCACGTTGTCCTTGTCGTAGGAGCCGCCCTCCTGGCCGACCTCCACCACCTGCACCTGGGGCAGCGCCGTGTTCCACTTCACCACGTACTTGGGCCCCAGGGGCACCAGGCTGCTGATCTCCAGCTGGCCCCTGCCGGGACAGGGAGTTCAAGGCCCTGGGACGAGGTCTGGTGAGCCTGCCGACAGCACCCTGGCCCCAGAGCAAACCCAGAGCACCGGGCTCGGCACGCCAGCTCAGCCGGGCCCCTCGCAGCCCAAGCACAAGATCTCAGGCCAAACCAAGCCAGGGCAGCTATCGGTGAGGCAGAAGCACCAGGGTCCCAGCCCCAGTCCAGACCCACATGCCATGGGCCCCCAAGTCCCTACCTGTGGTTGGCAGGCCTGAGGAAAGACAAGAAGGAAGGGAGGTCATTACTGTTCCTGAGCGACATGTACAGAGCCTGCGGCCTGCTGGGGACCAGGCAGCAGAGCGGAGGGACAGATCGCCCCTCAGAGGAGCCACGGCAGCAGGGGCCAGGGTGGGCCGCAGAGACCACACGGAGGGCCTTCTCTTGGACTGGGCATTGGCCTTCTGTGAGGCCCACAGGGCCCTGCTGGGAAGTTCGTGTTATCCCAGACAAGGACGCTGATGCGCAAACAGGTCACATGCCTACCGCAGCTCACCCCACTGATCCCAGGTGCCTGGGGGATGACGGGACTTACAAAGTAGAATGATTCCGTGAGTAAGTGAATTCCTGACTGAATGAGGGAGTGTGTGAGAGAGAACATGAGTGAACTGAATGAAGGGTATGTGGCTGATTGAATTAGGGACTGAACAAGCGAGTGACTGGACTAGTGAGTGGACGATGAGTGGCTGACTGACCACTGAATGAGTGACTGACTGAATGAGTGAGCAAGAAGCGAGGTCCCACAGATCGGGAAAGAGGCCTCCTTGCCTAAGTCTTGACCAGGGCTAGGCCTTGTCCAGAGCTGTGAACTGGCACAAAGGAAGGGCCCAGTAGATGACTGATGGATGACAGGCAGGTGGGCAGGTGGAGGCGGAGCAAGCCCTGCTCCTCCCCTTCCAGGATACGTGAGCCACAACCCCAGCAAACCCCCAAATCCATGCACAAATCCAAAGGCACCGGCTGACTCCAGGAGGGGGTCTGAGCCGGGCTCCAGAGGCAGCCCCCCGTGTTCCAGCACGGCAGGCAGTGGGGCGAGTCAGGCTGAGATTAGCACCTGAACACAGTGACCGTTTAGAGCCCGGTCATTGGAGCCATATCGCTGTTTTTAGGACATTTTCATGCGTGAGAGCCTGGCCGGAAAGACCCCAGCCAGAGGTCATGCGGTCAAGTGGCCCCGGGCGTGAAGACCCAGAACGCTGGATCTTCAAATTTTCAAGAAAGTGCCTCAGTCCTGTGGGAACTCCTTCTTTGAGCCAAACCACAGATTTCCAGAGGCCTGGAGGCGCCATGGGCCCCACATCCTCAGGCTCTGGGCTCAAGAACCGAGCTCATCCCACCAGGGCTGCAACCTTTCGGGCATAGCCTGGCACCCGTTCCAGGCGCATCCACGACCTCTGACCCAGAACGGGGAAGCCCGCAAATGCCCTGGGCTGCGGGGAAGGGCAAAGACTTGGCCGGAGGGAAAAGCCCCGAGCAAGGGTGACAGGGACTTGGGGCAGACACAGAAAGAGCCTCTTGAATTTCAACATGGTCCGAGCTCAGGCAGCCGCCCGGGTAAAGAGCTGAGTCCAGAACAGTCCACGCTGCACAGTGGGCAGCTGTTGGGCCAAGAGCCTGGGGGTATCCCCCGTGATCTTGCAGGACCTTCCAGCTCTGGGGACCTCAGGCAGAGCAGGCCCAGAGGGAAGGGAGAGGAAGCTGGACGTGGGACCCCCTCACAGAGGGGCCAGCCAGGGGCTAGGACGGGACAGGGAGGGTCCGGGGGGGCGAGGCCAGACCACTCACTTGAAGTTGATGTTGGCACAGACCAGCATGTCGTTGAGCAGGAAGACCCTGCGCTCCTTGGACTTGATGAGCTGTCCTCGGTCTCCATACACCGTCTCCGTCAGCGTCTCACACAGGAGCAGCTGCCGCTGGCCTGAGGTCAACAGCTGGGGAGGGGGACAGGGCAAGGTCAGCGCCAGAATCCTCTCCCATACACAAAGGGGATGAAGGCTGGAGAGGGGGGCGGGCTGAGGCAGGCGACAGGGTACTGGATGGGGCGGGGGAGGTAGACGCCAAGGACCCCCGTGTTGGGTAGTCTGACTGCCCTCTCAGCTCAGAAGCCAGCTTCCCTCGAAGGTGAGCCAGCCCTGCCTGCCCTGTGGCTGTCCCACAGGACTGGCACCTCCCACAACACAGTCCTGGTGACACAGACACGTGGCCTTTGTCTTATGGGAAGGTTTTTAAATCCTAACACAGTTTTCTTCCTTCTTGAGTCAGTATCTTGTATCTATCTAGAATTTTTTTGAGGTAGAATTTGGTAACTGATTTTCAGATCAATCTGAAAGCTCTGACTCCCCTCACACCAGCCATGAAGCGCTTGGGCAGGTGCCTCCACATCTCCACACTTCAGCTGTCGAGCGGGGCAGCATCTCCACCACTCAGACCACCGAGTCAGGGGAAGAGGGTCTGGCTGCATCACCTGCAGAGCCCAGGGCAAGAGGGCCCTTTGTGACAGTCTGATCAAGAGCAGAGAAGGCTGCCCGGCACTGGCACAGAGTGGACACTGAAGGCCACTGATATCCCCACTGTCGCAGCCCATGCTGGTAAGAGGCGGGCCTCATGCGGGCGACCGCGAACTGGAAGTAGGTCCCATTCCTACATCCTGACCTGCTGCAAGCCTCAGCCACCCTCAGCCGGGAAGATAGCAAGATGGGCTGGGCGGGCCTCCCCGGTGGCACAGTGTTTGAGCGCTGGTTCGATCCCCGGCTGCTCCTCGGCCACCAGAGGAGGGTCCCACATGGCGCGCAGACCTCTCCTGCCGCCCTCTGCTCCCCTCAGCAGTGTACTTCGGTCCTTCTGCCTGTTCTGCTCCCTGCTCTCGTGAATTCTCTCACCCTCCAGCGCTTCTGACTATACCCAGTGCTTGTATAAATAAATAAAAATAAATCTTTAAAAAAAAAAATAGTCTTTTAAAAAAAAAAAAGTTTAAAAAAAAAAAAAAGATGGGCTGGGGACTGATCTGCCGCTCAGGGAGGGGACGTCGGAGGAGGCTGAGACCTTCAGGCCTCAGGCATCTGAGCAGTCACTTGCAGGCGGACACCAAGAACCTCTGCCAGCCCACTCAGGAACGAAGAGGACAGCATCTAACAGGAAGGGGGTGAGGAGGGGCGGAGAGTACTCAGCAAAATCCATCTCCCAGTCCTGTGATTCTGACGACAACAGTTGTCCTCCCCTGCCTCCCCAGACAGATCAGCCCAAAGCCTCCCCTGCAGAGAAGGCCCTGCCAATCTCCCCAGAACCCTGTCTTTCAAGTGAACACAAAAGTCAGGATGTTAACAAAGACCCACTGTGCGCCAGGCACTAAATATTCTGCTTCTCATTTCATTGGCTCACAGTCCCGTGAGGCTACCCCTCTTCCCCACGGGGAAACCCAGACTCTGGACTCGGGCTGGCTGAGCATCAGTGCAGGACAGAGCTGGGTCACGTGCACTGTCCCCTGCAGCAGGCTGGGTGTGACACAGGCCAGATTTGGCCCTGCTGCTGCTAACACAGAAGAGGACTCGGGGTCCCTCAGGGGCACCCCATCACTGCTAAAGCCAGGCTCCCCCACCCACCACTTCCACCACCAAGCTGACCTCCAGTGCAGGAACACAATGCTGAGTCCTGAGGACAGCAGGCCCCACAGAAGGGCCGAGTGTACCAGGAGCCAAAACTGCCAGAGGAGAGTCTCCTGGGCTTCTGGAAACCACCCTTGGCCTCTCGGGCAGATTTTTAAAAAGTCAGATGTTGCACAAGTATCCTGAGGGTCCTGATCAGGCACATTTTGAAATAGCTGGCAGGGTTCCGCTTCAGGCACACCCAGTTTCATTTCCACTTTTCCAGGGTGACAGCAGGAGGAAAACCACTGGACCAGCCTCAGCACTGGCTGAGACCCCCAGGGGGCCAGGGGTGCCGGCAGGAGGAGGCCACAGCATGCAGGTACTGCCACACTCTACCTACATTCCACACCTCTCAGACACCCCTTGATGGGAGATCCTGAGGCTCAGTCTTCACTTCCTTCCCAAACAGCAGTCAGGTCTTCCTGCCCTCAAGCCAATACCCACTGCTCCCTGTTGGCCAGGTTCCCCCAGGGGTACAGAGCAAGGGGAACAAGGATGGCTTTTCCAAAGTGACTGCAACTGAGCATCCCCTTCTCCTGAGACATCCCCGCCCACAGCAGTGCACAGGTGTGTGAGCCAGAGCAAGAGAAATCCTCTTGGTGGCAGAAAAAGTGCTAAAGCAGGTGACAGAAGACACTTCCCATGTGCAGAGACCATGAAACACCAGCACAGGAGGCCACGGGTGGGTCCAAGACTTTCTCTGAGAAATCTCCCCAAATAGAGGCTGTGTTGCCGGTGGAGGGGATCCTGCCTGGAGTGGGGGGGAGAGAGAGGGAATAACCCCACAGGATGAGGACATCCCCCCAGAAGGGGGCTTGTCTCCTGCCCTATCTTTTCTTCCCCAGTTCTAACTTCCTAGAACAGGCACGGCAAACTCAAAACGCTTTTGAGGTCCATGGTAATGCAGTGGGAGGACATTATGGGGACAAGGGGCATGCGCACAGCTGCTCAGGGGACCCAGGGCGGTGTGGGAAGGTGGGTCGGCTCTTCCAAGTCATCAAGATTGTTCACACATCTGAATTTCATGGAACGTATCTCTATTTTTAAATGCGGGCAATTATTCCATTTTCTTGAAATTATTGTGGAGACCCCAAAATACACGTACAGCCTGAATTTGGCCTGAGGTGAGGGACCCTGCAGGTGACCTTGTCCCGCCCTGACACACAGCCTGTGGCGATGACTGGGAGGCACACAGGTCAGAGGCATCACACACTGCACAGTGTGGTCCACCTCCAAAGGGCTGCCATCCTCCGTCACCCTCCCGTATCACCAGAAAGTTCCGCCCCACATGGCTATAACCTCCCAGCCTTAGTCAGTCGCCTTAGTTCTGCTTTCAGGGGCTCACAGGACCAAGAAGTTCCCAGTTTATCCCCCTCAAGATTTGAACACCCCTCCTGAGGACCCCACAAAACGTCCCCATGTTCTGGCCAGGTGCCCTGAGGCAGGGTCACTTCACCCTGAGCCACCCCAGGCCAATCTCCAAGGGGGCCTCCCAGGACTGGGTGCAGCCGGGGCGCCTGCGCTGTGCCATTAGGAAAACGGGACCGAAGCTGACCAACAGGTAAACATTTTTTTTGTACTGGCCGTTTGTTTTTAAAAACCAAGTTCTCTCCGGTCACATTTGAAAGATATTCAAGATCTTTTTTGCTAGAATGTTCCTAAGTTGCGACCCCAAAACATGGCATGGATTTTTCAATTTTCTCCTTTAAAAATAGCAGTGAGGATGACAGTCGCCTTGTATTAGGGGGCCTGTCCCTCTGCCAGCACCTTCTTTTCCAGGAAACAGGTCTGGGGTTAGGCGCCCCTGGGCATTCCTCATTTCAGAGGGGTCAAGTGAGGTTCAGAGAGGTTGGGGATTCCCCTGAGGCCACACAGCAGGCACCAGTGGAGAAATACGGACTCCACTCTGACATTACTTATTTCCTCACAACACCGGAGTATCAATTCTGATGAATTTACTGGCAGCGACACCGATGAATAAAGTGCACTTTTATCTTAAACTGACATAGTAACTGTTGAATGAGGGGGTCCAGGTGAGACTAAAGTCTGGGGCTCAGAAAGGCAAGGACTCCCCTCCCTCAGAAGACCAAGGTGGCCATGGGGCAAGAGGCAGAGGGACAGGTGAGGAGGGCACAGGCCACTCACCTTGTTGAGGCTGCTGCGGTCACTGACGCTCTTGGTCAGCTGCTGGATCTCGGCCACCTGGTCGGCCAGCCGCTTCTGCTCGTTGAGCTTCTCAGCCAGTGTCTCCAGCTCTGTGAGGGCCAGCTGCAGCGAGAGTCTGTCGGGGTGGCCCCTGGGGGTGTTCTTCAGCATGTCCTGCCAGGGCCCAAGGAGCCAGGCCTGAGAAGCTGCACTCGAGACCCTTCCCTGATGCTGGCTCAAGCCTCACCCTCCACATCTCCACATCAAGTGGGAGCCCAGGTCTGAAAATGAGCCAGGACAGCCAGTAGCCACCACAGAGCAAGGCCTCCCAAAAGCCTGTCGCGAGCCCCGATGAACCCTCAACCTAGTGCGAAGAGGGACACGCACTCCTGCGACCGGCAGCTCCCAGGACAGGGAGGAAAATGTCACTGGGGCCCTCAGCCTGGTGACAGGGGTGCCCCCACCCAGGACCCTCGGCAATCAGGGGAAGAATCCCAAGTGGTGAGGGCCCCAGGGGCTAACACTCCTGTGGGACGCAGCAGCGGTCAGCTCATCGGCTAAGAGTCCCCACCTGCAGGTCCTGGGATCCCAGGGAGGCTCCTGCCATCAGCAGTTGGGTGCCCCCACATCCTGCCTGGCCCTGAGAGGCAAGCCCCAGCCCCCACCGCAGGTCAGAGGCTGTGGGAAGCCGGGAGGTACCTGAAGCAGGAGGATGAACTGCGGGAACCTCTGGATGGGCTTCACCATCAGCCCGTAGAGCGTGACACGGTCGGGGCTACACACCTGCCGCCGCTGCGGGAGGCAAGAGGGGATCGTCTGGGACCCTGTGCAGCAGGGGCCCAGCACCCCAGAGTGCCCCTGGGGCCCCGTTCTGGGCTCCTCTCCCCATGTCTGGGGCGCTGCTCACTTCCAGCTTGGAGAAGAGCCCAGGGAGTCCCGGATTCCACAGCCCGGGGTCCCTGCCACCAACGGTCCCCGCATAGCCCCTCCCCCGGGGAGACTAAGGCCATCCCATTAGGTCTCGGGTGGAAAGCATAACAGGGAGACTCAGCAATTTATTTAAGAGGTCAGAATGCTAGAAGCAGCAGAGACGACCATTCCCTCCATGTAACAAAGCAGGCGGGCCCAGGCCGGAGTGAGGGGCAGGCACGGGGGTCTCCTGCCTCCTGCTTGCGTTTCCACCACCCCATCTGCACGTCTGTCACCTTGACCCCAACCTGCACCCCCTGCAAGCCAGGCTGCTGCCACAGCTTCCCCCGTGCCCCACACCACCCTCCACTTCCATGCTTCCCAGGCCCCAAAATCCTCACTGGGTCCCTGCTACCTAATACGACATCCCCAGCCCTGAAGGTCCAGAACCACCCAGCTAAACTCGGCTGCCTCTGACCCTCCTCCTCCAACACCCCAACAGGCACCCAGTGCTCCCAGCACCCCACCAGACTTATCTGCCCCTGTCCTCCTGCCTCTAACCTTATCCTACCAGCCTTGCCCTACCCCCGCCCCTGAATCACCAACTCCACCACCTCCAGGACCTATGTCAGATGGCACCCCATTTAGAAAGCTTCCAGACCCTCTTCAGACCAGGGCGCTGGGCTCCTCAGCTGAGGTTCCTAGCCGACCTACGACCTCCACTAGGGTGTGTGTTCCCTGTGGGCACGTGCCCATCTGTCCAACCCACCTGGCTGTGCACCTCAGGGACTCCCCAGGGGCAGCCTGGCCTTGGGTCCTTTAGCCTATACTCTCCCAGGAGGTCTCCAACATACCCCTTTGAGGGGAAGGGATCAGCCCAGCTACAACATGAGTCCCACCTGAGGCCCGGGCAAGGCCAGCAGGACCGAGGGACACGGGCCGGACATGGCTGGGTCACCCACAAGAGACCCACCGCCATCTCGCCTCAGAGAGATGCCTCGGGCCTGCCCTTCCGCCTGTTAGAGCTCTAGGCTCCCCAGCTGCTCACAGACCCTTAAACTCTTTATCATCTTCTTCACGAGGGCAGGAGGGACCCATCTTCTTCTGCCGGGACTGGGGGTGCCCCAAAGGAAGGAGAGGAGGTATCTGGGCCAAAGTGACCTTGCGACACCCAAAGATGGGTGTCAGCACTCTCCCTCTGAGAGGCCCTCCCACGCCCACTGATGCCAGTGCCCTGGAGGGGCCACCTTGAGGAACTCCAGGAAGGCAGGCTTGGTGAGGCAGGCCTTCTTGATGATGGACATGGCGTTGGTGAAGTTGTTCACGTAGTCACTGTACACGTCCAGGACCATGGACTTGGAGAACTGCAATGGCATGGGCACAGCGTCACGCGGATGCTGGGGCCACACCCCACCCTCACTGCCAGCACCCACCCAGAGGCATCCAACCAGCCCAAGGTCAGGAAACAACGGGTCAGGAAACAACACCCCGATGGGAAGGGGGGGCATTCCTGACCCCACTCTCTGCCCACTGGCGACGGGCACACAGGCAAGACATTCTCTTCCTGACCTCCCCAGGAAATAAAATTCCTGGCCCACCCCTCTCAAGGACAGCACTCCAAGCCCCTCCCCAGAAATAGTGCACCCCTCATTGAGTTGCCAAGGGTGGAGATGGCTTCTCTGGGGTCACCAAGCCCCTTGGACATCAGGGTATGGGAGCTCTTTAGCCCCAGGGTTTTCAAATAAAAACACTTCTTTCTTTTAGCAGAACCCAATTATCTACAACAGGTCAAAGCGCAGTTCTACCGACCTGATGCCCCCAGCTCTGTGAATCTCTCAGGGCCGAGACTTCAGTTTGAAAAACCACAAATCCAGTGCAAACCTCCCCACCCCAGTTCCACAGGTGGGAACCTGAGCCGGGAGCAGGTCCTGGAGCTGCTCAAGGGTGTCAAATGGAGCTGGGACCGAGACCCAGCACACCCCGACACCCTGCGGCTCCTCTGGGCCAAGGCCAGGGTCTGCACGAGCATCCCCAACAGAGGTCACTCTACGGTGCTTGGCAGGGGGCTGCCCCCAGAGGCGGGGACACCTGTGGCCTCGTGGAGGTGCAGCCACCTGGGCAGAGTTGGAGCAGGCACACACCTGCAGATAGCTCTGAGGTCACACTGCGGACTCGAAGGTGTCACCACCCCATCTCAGGCCAGGCAGACTCAGACCTGCTTCTCTCTGATGCGCTGAGTGGGGCAAAGCAACCGGGAGAGGGAGACAGCAGGCCCTGAGGACCTCAGGCGAGGGCTGTGCTTCCTCCCCTTGACCAGTAAGGAAAGACTCTGGGGAAACCCACCGAAGCCACGAAGAGGTCCCCGATCTTCTCAGTGGAGTCCCACTCGGCCACGCGGGAGGACAGGGCGATCTGGAACATGGAGTGGCAGTGCAGGATCTCCTTCACGCGGAAGAACACCACCTGGCACTTGCGCAGGCTCAGCGCCTTGGGCTCCATCTCCACCAGGGGGTTGCGGTAATCCTGCAGGGCGGGGAGGGAGAGTGGGGTGCGCCCGAGCCAGGCCACAGCCCCTCCACCCTCCTGCCCTCGCGGCCACCTGGCCAGGGCCCATCAGAACTGGCCAGGGGTGGTCCTTCCCGTTGGAAGGAGCGCTTGTTCTGCACACCTCAGCTGTCCTAAAAGGACTCCGTGAAGGTAACATCCTGGCCTCCCTGCCCACCCACCATCCGTGCCCAGGACTCAGGGCTAAGCTGAGCTGGGAGGAAGACCTGGCCCTGCTGTGCTTTTCCTCCAACTGAGCCAGCCTGTCCACCAGGCAGGGGCAGGAGGAGGCAGCCAGCTCCCTTGGCTCCGAGCCTGCACCACATTCTCTGACCAGCTTTGTCAGAAACACAGGGAAACGCACATCCTGGCAGGTGTCCCCCAGGGTCCCTGCCGCCCCCGAGGCCCTGGCTCATACCTGGAGTACCCGCTTCAGAGACTCCACGTAGCTGCCTTCACTCTGCACGATGGAGCCCAGGATGTGCCTGCGGACCACCTGTTCAGGCAGAAGCACGTCAGTGCCCACGCCCACCGTGGCACAGGGGGTGCGCCCAGTGGGTGATGCCCTCAGAGTGGTGCCTGGGGGCAGAGGCGCGTGTTCCTCCCAGAGCCCATTTTTGGTTCCATGGGGGCCTGGCAGGCTGCATTCCCTTCCAGAGCCCTGTCCACCCCAGAGGACCCCTTTGTTCCCCAGACTGCAGGAAGGGGACTAAGCAGATCCTCTGTCTGGCCTCTTTTACTGTTCCAAGGAGGTGGGTCGCCCCCTCTCCTCCGTGGATCTCGCAGCCTCCTCCAACTTGGACCAACCCTGTTGAAAATTCCTTCTCAAATGGAACTGAAATCTTGGCCCCCATCACCTGTGGATATAATCCTTAGCCAACCCCTCCCCCGCGACAGTCCTTGGGGTAACCCCAACATGTCACCTAGTGACCTCCACCTCGGACTAAACATCCCAGTCCCTTCCCCAACCCTCCTCCACCTGAATCGCCCCTCCAGCAGCTCAGCACAGAGAGAACCTGGCCAGCCCCTGTCGACCAGCATGGGACTTGCAACCCCTGCCCTGGAGGGCCGGCAAACCCGGCTGGATGTTGGAGTCAAGTGGACACCTTTAAAAAATCCTACCATCCGGCTCCCTCTCTGACATTCTGATCGGACTGGCATGGGGTGCAGCTCAGGTATGGGGGAGGGGGTATAAAGTCTCTCAGGTGGTTCTATTGACAGAGCTCATCTGATGAGGGAGTCCCCAGGGAGAGCTGTCCACCTGGCTCCAGGGCAGGAGGGTGACTGATCCCTGCTCTGCCTGAGAGTGTCCATCAGCACCACTATTCCCCACTCTCCTCCACTACCTTTTCCACCTCTGGCACATGGTGCCCAACCTCCCCTCTTCCCTGCCACGACCCACAGGCCCCAGGCCCTTAGGCCGCCCCACACATGGCAGCACCATCAGGATCCCTGGGCCCCAAGCTGTGCCCACACAGTTCTCTACCCAGCAAGTTGCCATTTGGGGCCAGGTGATTCTGTCGTGGGGGTATCCTGTGCACTGTGGGGTTTTAGTAGCATGCTTGGCCCCTAATCTCATTGCCAGTAGCAACTGCCAGTTATGACAGAAAACATTGCCAGGCATTACAAAATGCCCCTGGGAGGGAGAAAAGTCGTGTTGGCTAAGACGGTGGCTGGAGTAACTGTATGTCTGATCCAAGAAATGCAAAAGGCTCCAGAGACCCCCAGCAACCCCCCACAGGAGAGCCTGAGAGGCCCAGGACCTTGAGCTGGAAGCCTGACTCTGCCCCAACAGTGACCCCTGCCATGGGGAGGGGTCAGGGGTCAGGCAGGTAAAGGAAGCAGGTGGACAGACTGCACAGGTGCCCTGAGACAGGGGCCGCCTCCTCCGCTCCGGCCAGTGCAGCCACAACCCCTAGCCTCCAGAGGCCAAACATCAGGATTTTCTGCCAATAGGAAACCGGCCAATCCTCTCACTGAGCCTGTTGATCCCATGTCCTCACAGCAGGGGGTAGCGAGGGGGGGGTCTCTCACCCCACTTCAAGCTAGGGCAGTGAGATGAAAGGGAAGCAAAGGTGACCAGGCCCAGGTCCCACAGCAGAGCTGTCCTGACAGTGACATGACACTCTGGGAGGAGGGAGTCCTTGCCCCCACAGCCCCAGCTCCGTGGGGACCCTGAGTCCCAAGGTGACAGTGGACGGGCACCCCACTCTCTCCAGGGTCTTCCTGAGCTGCATTAGCTCAGGGCTGCTCAGCCCTCTGGCTAGCACAGCCCCTTCTCCCCACACCACCTTCAGTTCAAACTGCTCAATAGGGGTTCTCTAGTTGCCATGGAGGTGCAAAGCCAGAGCTCCAAATACTGGGGCCCCACACCCCCACTACAGCATGGAACAGCAGGGCCCAACAGGGAAGGCCTAAGCTGCTGGCTGGGAGCGACCCCAGGAAGCCCCCAGCCAAGAGTCTCTGATTGTCACTTTCCCTTCAAGACCCACATGTGCATGGTACCAGGTTGTAAGCTGGACCTTCCCCAAAACACCCCCACCCACCCTGCTGCTCCCACAGACCTGCTGAGGACTCAGGCCCTCGGGCATGGGGCCCAGCTCCGGGGCTGGGGGCTTGATGTCCGTAACGCTGACCTCCAGGAGCCCCATGTCCTCCTCCTCCGAGTCACCTGGAAAGTCAGACACATGCTGGCGACACAGGCAAGGTCAGGGCCACACACCCGCTCAGACCCAGGTCCCAGGGATGGGCAGCCCCCAGGGCCACGCAGGGCACAGGCTGCTCCTCACATTGGCTGCCACGCTCTCTGGAATGGTCCACAGACAGCGTGAGCCAGCCAGTGAGTGAGCGAGCCGCACAGAGCAGCATGCTGGGCCGGCTCCCCAGACAGGCCTGCTCAGACCCTCCGCTCTGGCTGCTGCAGGCCAGGCCGCCCATGTCCCCAGCACCAGGCACTAAAAATAGTTTTCTTCTGGACACTCGAAACAGGGGTGGGGGGGTAAACCCCGAGAAAAACAGGTCTGTTTGACTTTATGTTTCATATTTCAAAGAAAACAATGCAAAAATCCCAAAGGGAAAAAGCTCAACTGCTGCGTGCTCAGGATGGGGGTTGGGGGCCGGTCTCAGATGAGAACAGAAGGGCACAGACACAGGCTCAGGCAGAGAGAGCGAGAGGTGGGCAGGGCAGGAGTCTGGCCCAGCAGGGTTCTGGCCCCCACGAGAGAGACACGGGCCCAGGAAGACGGGCTGCTGCTGCTCCTGACCCTGAGACCCAAAGGTGGCAAAGGCAGGAAGTGGGTGCTGTGAGGAAGCCGGGCGAGAAAAAAGAAGTGGCAGTGACGCCAAAGGGACAGGGGACAGGGACACCGGGCAGGCCCTTACCTGAGCAGGAGACAGAAGAGGAGGAGGAGGAGGGGCAGCGCACGACCGCAGGGGGGTGAGGGTACTGAGGGCCCTCCTGCCTGGCCCACATGGCACCCCGGGCATCACTCCGCACCCACCCCAGCCGCCGGCCCCGTGGCTTCCTCTTCCCCCCTGAGCCACTGGCTAACATTCTTGGCCAGTGACTTGAGCCGGCCGCAGCTATTAATAACGCCGTTGGTGGGAGGGTCACTTTAGGAAAGGATCCGGGTTGCGGGGGGTGGACAGGGCCGGGGAGAGCCCCACTGGCTGCCTGGCCGGCCTAGGGGTGGGAATGATGACCAGAGACAGTTCCCAGCCAGCAGCCTGCCCCCGGCCACTCCTCCCTGCCACTCTGCTACGAATGACTCCTCGGCCTGTCCCCTCCCTCATCCGGGGCCAGTGAACCCCAAAGGATTAGAACAGCATGCAGAGGTGGGGTTCAACCCCTGTTGCAGAAGAGGAGTCCACAGTTCTAAGAGAAGGACCGTGAAGGTCACATGGCCGGGAGCCGAAACCTGCGCCAGGGCAGCAAGGCACCATCCAGCACTGAGCAGTGCCACTGAGTGGACCCCCCCGGGCCTGGTGCTGCCACGGGGAGCCCGGAACTGTGCCAGCTGGTTACCCTCGCCCTGTCCTTGAGGCAGATGCCAGATTAGCCCCACTGTACAGATGAGGAAACTGAGGCACAGAGGGTAACACATATAACTTTCCAAGAGGACACAAGGGTTGTCCTCCGGGGCCCTCTCCTGGTTCAGGTCCCCACCTTTGCAAGAGGCCTGATCTCATCTGTTCCCACCCCACCCATGCCTGCAGGTCCCCAGGCGGGTCCCCGGTCCACTCTGCACCTGTCCCCTCGTTCCCTTGGGAATAGGACCGTCCCCTGCACCTGGGTGATGTTTCCAAGAACTAAGGAAGGAACTGGAGAGCCCTGAGGAGCGCCTGGGACACGACAGACGCTCCAGGAATGTTGACCATCATGAAAAGCACCCCCTGGGCATCTACTCTCCCACCTCCAGGCCTTTGCATGCACCGCCACCCCACCCCCAGAGCGGCTGATCCCCACTGCCCAGCTGACCTGGGCCTCCTCCTCTCAGCCCTTCCCTGGCCTTTCATTCCATGCTCTCCCCTCCGCGTCCCAGCAGGGCCCTGGCGACTCCCACTTGTCGTCTGTCGCGTGGTTTCCGCCAAGCTGAAACATGCGACGTTGTCGCACGCACGACAGGAGTCCCTGTCAATGGCTGAGATGTGGCAGAAGTGACCCTACGTCCAGGTGTGTGTGATGACACCCTGTGATGTTCACGAGACAAACTCGCCCACCGACGCGTTTCTCAGAGTGAGCCCCGTCGCTAGGCGACGCACGGCTGCACAGTCATTTCCTCTTATACGCGGGTGCCCCCTCCCCTGCCAGCAGCTCCCGGAGGAAATGCCAGCACGGGCGGCACCCAGCAGGCCCGGGTCACAGTGGCTGGGGGAGAGATGGGCGGAGGAGTGAGCGGGAGCACTCTTGGGGAGCCAACAAAGGCAGGGACACTCAAGGGGGGCCCACCTTCCCAAAAAAGACAGGCTGTGCCTGCAAGTGTGAAGAGGCTGGGCCCGGCCGAACACTTGAGCACCCCACTGCCAGAGGCGCACAGAATGACCGCCGGGGTGAGGAATGGAGCCTTGCCCTCCCCCTCCACACACCCCCCCCCACGCCGTCACAGGGCTGAGCCCCAGACCCGCCCCCTGCCCTGTCTGACAGCCTTACCAAGGACATCCTTCCGGTGCAGAAAGGACACTTTGCGCATGACAGCGATCCTGGTCTTCTCCAGCCCGTCCTTGGTCCCGCTCTTGGCGGCCTTCATGAGCTGGGTCATCTGGGCAAAAGCAGAGGCTCATCAGAGACTCAAGAGAGGCTCTGGGACACCTGCCACGAGGGCCCAACCCCACCCAGGCCTCCCACCGGACCCCAGACCCCGACCTCAGTCCACTCCCTCCTGGAAAGATGGGCAGCAGCGGTCACCAGGGGCAGCAGGCAGTGCTGCCAGGGACCTCCTGGAGGGGGGCCCGAGAAGGGGTGTCCACACCCCAGGGATCTCCTTTGAGAACCCTCCTGAGGGGCAGGGGGCGGTCCTAACTGGCTTTAGGTGTCAGCTAAGGAGGAAATGTGACTCTGCAGAAGGCTGCAGGCCTGGAGTCTGGGCCCTGCTCACCACGCCCCGGCGGGGGGACCCTGGACAAGTCTCACTCTCCCTCAGCCTCAGTTTCCTCACTGAGATGCCACAACCGCCTCTGTGAGGACTCAGCCCAGGGCTGGGAAGCACCCTCACAGTGGGACTAACGCCACAAAGGTTGGTGGTTACTTCAGGGGCAACTAAAAGGAGGTGGCCACCCCCTTCCCATCCACTGAACCTGAGGGAGGAACCCCCTTCCCAGCCCCCCAAATAGCCAGGTTTCTTACTGTCTCTGCCCAGGAAAGGGGGAAGGCTGAGCTGCCAGGAGCAGGGTGCGGCTTCCTCTGGGCAGGAGGAGCCAGGGCACAGGCAAAGCAAGCTAAGCAGAATGTGAGGCTCAAGGGACGGCATGCCGGGTGGGGGGCCCTGAGTGGTGGGGAGGCCCCAGCCTCCAAACAGACCGCTGCCCTCTAACTCACCCTTTGGCCCCCTCGCTCCCAGCCCAGCCCTGGCATCTTCTCCACCCGCGGTCAGTGCTCTCCCACAGAATTCTCTGCAAGGATGGATGTGCTCGCCACCTGTGTGCCCACGCCAGTGGCCGCTGGCCAAGGGTAACCATTGGGCACTCGAAAAGTGGCCAGTGAGACCGAGGACCCGAAGTCCTGGTCGTATTTCATTATCTTTCATTTAAACAGCCACTCGGCTCTGCAGATGGACAGTGCAGTTCAAGGAACACGTCTCCTGCCCAAAGTTCTCTGGGGGTCTCTGGTCTCACTGTCGCCTTCATCCAAACAAGGCCTAGGTCCCCAGCATGAGGACCTGGGCACATGCTGGGAGTGTGGACAGGGGAGGCTGGATGAAAACCCAGTGGGCACTGGGCTGGGGACAGGGTGGAGGCTTTCAGGAACAAGGCTGGCTTTCTGGAAACAACCAGCAGGAGGGAAAGGGAAGTATCACCCCCTGCATCTAGTGGTGCAATGTAGAGCAGTGATTCATGGCTTTTTGGGGGAGAGTGGGTGCGAGGGGCAGTCATAAATACCTTTGAGAATCTAAGAAGAGGAACAGGTGCTGACCCCAGAAACTGCACAGAGATGCTCACCCTCTCGGGCGTGGGGTCACAAGCCCTGGACTGGAAACCTCTGTCCCAGAGCCCGGGTGCTAGCCTGGCTGGAAGCCGTCAGTGGGACCCTCCTACAAACCCTCAAACACCCATCAGAGTGCCTGCTCTTTGCATTTTTCTGGACAAAAAGAAACAGCAGGTGAGCACTACAGGTGTCCCTGAGTCACCCTGCTTTCAGGTGGAGGACACACCGGCAGGCGCCCTCCTGCACTCTGCCCTCCTCCACAGGCCCCTGCTTCTCTCTGACCTCAGCTTCCTAAGTCAAACCTACCCCCGCCAGGTCAGAGCACTCTGGGAAGTGGGGGTCTGTACAGGGCCTCCCAGCCTATAAAGTGCCTCTTTCCCTCCTGGGAGGCCTCAGTTTCTGCTGAGATGGGCGGTGCTGCAGGTCTGGGCACCCCATTGGCCTCTGTGGGCCCTGCCACTGACGGCAGGAATGACCACCAGCCATCATCTTACCCACCAGCCTCTCTAGTGCTGAATGACAGCAGGAAGATGGCTGCCCCCCGGCCCCGGGGTGACCTGGGAATGAAAAGGCTCACCCAACACTGAGCTCCCAGGCTGTGCAAGTGCAGCCCTGAACTGTCCGGTCCTCACATCCACCCTGGGGGCTGGGACCCCTGACACTCCCATTTCACAGGCAAGGAAACCGAGGCTCAGAGAGGTCAAGAGGCCTGCCCGGGATCGCACCACGAGCAGGTAGTAGGATTCAAACCCTGGCCTGCGGGACTCCAGAGCCTGTAGCTCCCACTCATGATCAATTAACAGAAGCTACTGCTGTTGATATCGTTTGCAGAAGTCAGGAGCATCTAGCAGAAGGGGCTGCAATTTCTCCCACAGACTTCCTTACTCTGGATCTTTCTGAATAGCCCAGAGAGGGGGGAAGGGCCAACAGCACCAGTGTTCACATTTGTCAAAGTATAACCCAAAGCCACCCACGGTAGCTGCTACATATGCAGATGCCTGGGCACTGATCGACGGAATCAGCATCTCCAGAAAGTTCAGGAGTCAGGATTTTCCAAAGCTTCCCAGGTCATTCTAAGGCCCCTAAAGTTTGAAACCCACCCAGGAATTCTTGCAGACAGCGAAGGTGACTTGGGGGTGGGCAGAGCAAGAGTAGCCAGCTCGTGGCAAGGAGCAAGCTGGCCTGGAGCATCTACCCGTCCCAGCACAGACGTGAAAGTCAGCTCGGAAGTGAGCTGGAGGCTCAGGCCACTGCTGCAGCCCCAGGAGCAGCAGAGAAGGCCCTTTGGGGCCCCCACCCAGGACCAGGGAGGGACAGACAGACAATACCTTACAATCGTACTTGTGCTTCAGCTCCTGCATGTCTCTCCCCCCAACTCTTAATGCCAAGATGTCTCTCTTAGTCCTGGCGTATCTCTCCTTGAGCCTGGTCAGGTCTGGAGAAAGCTGGAGCCCCCAAGCAGCCAGGCAGAAGGAGAGCAGGTGAGAGGAGCAGGCGGGACAGGGAGGAGACAAAACATGGACAACAGAGGAAAAAGGAGACTCAGGTAAGGCGGCATGGACCACAGGGACAGGTGGGATCTGGAGCCGAGCGGCAGTCCGGGCGGGCTCCTGTGTGGAGGCGGCGCCAGCAGCACCCAGCCGCAGCGCGCCAGGCAGCTCGGGGCGGGGGCGTGGCAGTGGAGGATCCTGCTGCTCGGATAGGATGGGAACAGCCCGGGCCCCTCTCTCGGGGATGGGGAACACTGCACAGTCAGGGGCTGCATCTTGGTCGCCCCCTCATCCCACAGCCCACATGGGACTTGGGACACAAAAGGTTCTCTGCAAGTTTGTGAGATGGTTGGATGGGTGGCAAGTGGATGGACAGGCAGGATGGGTGAGTGAGGGGATGAACGGATGTGTGGGTGACGCATAAAGATGGGGGTGAAAATGGATGAATGTGACAGACACATGGGCAGTGGAACAGGCTCATGGGCAGGTGGGTGGACGGATGCCCGCATGCATTGGTGCATGAAATAGCAAGTAAATGGAAACATGTAGCTGGGTGACTATAAAGCAGGGTAAATGGATGGATGAATAGACTGTCAGATAAATGAATAAAGGGACAGATGGGTTGGTGGGTGGACAGAAGCGGTGCTCCTAAGTATTTAACCACGGGGTTTCCAGGAGAAAGAGCCCTGTTCCGCAGCATTTCCATGGTGTGATTGCGCCCACACTGGCCAGTCTCAAGCTACCAGCATGAGATCACTGAATGGGAAGCTGGGAGGAGATACACACCATTGTGAGCTCGGACGAGTGATTCTAGCACATTCCTAGAAGGAGGAGTGAATGACTAGACAGACAGAAGCAGGGAGGAGGGGAGGGCGGGTAGGATGGGGGGGGGTAACAGCTTAGAAACTCTCCAGGAAGAAGGAGGGTGGACGAACAGGCATTTACAGGAGTATGTGTGAGCAACAGTGACACTTGGTACAGCATCCAGAAGACCAAGACGGGCTCTACTTGGAGAGAGGCAACAAGTAGCAAGTTCAAGAGCACGAGTCTGGGGCAGACGGGCCGACATTCAGAACGCAGCTCCCCGCTCACTGGCTGGAAAAGCCTCTTTGCTTCCCTGAGTTACAGCTTCCTCAGTGGTAAAGTGCCATAATAATAACCACCTCATCGAGTTCCTGAGAAAATTAAATGAACGGTCTATGGGAAGCCCGGGGCTTAGCTAGTATTCAAAAAGTGGAAGCTATTATTGTGCTGGCTTTCAGATAATAAGTGTTCCACATTGTTGACGGATGACTAATTGGTTGGGTGGAGTGTTGGAGAGAGGGAAGGAAGTGGATGGAGGAAGGAGGGGGGGAAGGGACAGATGGATGGATGGATGGATGGACGGACGGATGGACGAACGGACGGACGATGGATGGGTGATGGATCCACAGATGATTGCTGAAAGAGGTATTTTCTTTCAAATCACACATGATGTTGATGTGCAGCTCCACCACTGACTGGCTTGTGTTACCCCAACCTCATCATTTAACCTCTCTGAGTTTCTGTGGCTGGTTCTCTGATCAACAATTCAATGCAAATAACAGGCCTCTCGGATATTAGGGAAAGTAAATAAAGCTGCTTTGCACACTAGGCACACGAGGCACATCTTCACTATCGTTATGTAAAGCAGCAGCAAAACAGGGATTCTTCTGAGAGTCATTGAGACCTCACAAAACCTGGAGTTTGGGGTTTGTATTGAGTCCTGTTTCACGTGCAAACCAGAATGACACATAAAATCAGGAGGCCCCTAGCCCTCTGGACGCCCCTCTGCCTCCCGAAGGGGCAGAAGAATGAGGCTCCAGGTCCACTTTGAGACCAGTCTGATCAAAGCAGGGGTGTGAACAAGGCTTGGTCAGATCAGCCCAGTGCCTTGGCCAGCTGGATGATGGTGACCTTGATCATGAAGAGGTCACAACCAGAAAGTGGAAGAGCACAATGGACCCATGCATTCTACAGCTAAGGGAAAAAAGCCCCTGCTCCTGCTTCTACCTGGGGCAGGTGCTTCTGAGGTTCCTCTGCAGACCCCTTGGTCACTTTCTTTGACCAGAATGGCTCCCCAAGGGCTGGCCTCTCCAGACATCTGAAGGAGAGGCTCTGCTAGTTCTCTTATAGCTGGGCAGGGTGCAGGGGCCCCATCAGACTCGAGATAGTACAAAACATCTCCCCAGACCTCTGCTGCCCAGCGCCCCACAGCACAGAGAACACACAGCTGAGCAGCGTGGCCCCGAGACATGCAGGTGCGACAGTGCAGGCGTGAGAGCAGGTGCCCTCAGCAGCTCAGGAGGGCAGAGGTGTAGACAGGCTCAACAGGGTTTCCCGGGCAGAGGCAGGTGCCAGAGGAAAGGTCCCTCCACAGCCTATCTCCCTGGAGCTAGTTGTTGGGGGACAGGAAGGCCATGGCCAGAGAAGTTCTCGTGGTGAGAACCCCTTGCCCATGGCCACACTGTCTGCAAAGGAAGAGTCCACAGTGTCCAGCCAGGGGGTGTGAGGGACTGAAGCTCATGAGCATCCCCCAGAGACCCAGCCTGGGGTCAGGCCATGCAGAGGACAGCCCAGCATTTCTCCCAGTTAAAAGTGGGTTGTGGGGCCCCACCCCAACTCTGAACCTAAGTGCCTGGGAGTGGGGAACTGACAACTGTGACCTCACCAGCTTCCCACGCAATGCCAACACCCCTGTCAGTCTGGGGGCCAGCCTTGGGGAAACCCCGCATCTCCATGCCTCCTGGCCTGAGAGGGGCCGAGTACTCCCTCCAGGTCCCTAGCAAGAAGGTAGGGCCTGGAAGGGTGGCCGTGGGGGATGAGGAGGGACAACCAGAGGCTGACAACAAGGGCTGCCCCGAGGGCCTGGAGTGCCCCTGACCACGCTGTCCAGAGCTGGGCTGAGACGAGGCTGCCCTGCCCTCATGTGGAGAGCCTGCCAGGGCACACAGTGGCTACAAAACCAAACCTCCCCTTCCCCCATAAAGCAGTACACTCTGCCCTTCGAGGACAGAGCAAGTTCAGGCACCTTTCCCATCCCTGCTGGGCGCTGCATCGTAGCACCCAGCTTGCCTCTCAGAAGAGTCCTCTGGCCAGTACCACCACATCCCACCCGGGACGGGCCTGCAGCCACGGTACTCGTGTTGACAAAAAGGTATTTTCCCTTTGCTTCTGATAGATTGCTATTTGCCCAAACAGTATCTGCTCCTAGACCACAAAGGTCAGCTGAGCCTGGGTGAGGGCTTCCTGTTCCCGGGCACCCCAGGCCACACCCTAAGCTGTGGGCTGGACGCACAGTAGGTGTCAGAGATGCCTAACTTTTCACTGGCAAGATGTCAAGGCCATTTCCACAGCCTGGTCAGTGCAGGCCCAGCCATGAGGAGACCAGGGTTCAGGAGAAACCTGTTCACCTGTGTCCCCCAAGAACTGGGGGAGCCTGACTTGGTCTGAAGAAAGCCTGTCTGAGACTCTTAGGGGTGGGTGCTGCTCTGGCCAGCAACCCTCTCCCACAGGGGATCCCCAGACTCAGAAACATGCAGGAGGCACTAAGGAAGACTCCGAGGTCCCACAACCCCAGCCCAGGCCTGGAGAGCAGGCGTGGCCACAGGTTGAGCCCAGCGGCCCGTCTGAGTCTTTTCGAAGGAACCGGAGAGGGACTCAGTCACCTCTGGCCGGGCAGAGTCTGTAAGAAGCTGCTCCCATTAAATCCCAAAGCTCAGCATGGACAGAGTCTGCCTTCTGGTGGCTTCTCTAGAACAAAGGAGAGGAGCCAGCTGTCACAGGACAGGAGGAGCCAGACAGTCCATCCTCTCTGTTCTCTTGGCTCCCTCCATGAAATCAGCAGAACGAACCTGTTCCAGGCAGAAACACCAGAAGAAACCAGTGCGCGGAAGGCCTTGGCAAGAAGCCCCCAGGGGGGAGGGCAGTCCACAGCGGCCTCCGCTGCCCGAGCGGGGAAAGGGCTGGGCGAGGCTAGGGCTGGTGTGAGAACACGCCCCGCAGGCCATGGAGGTCAAGCTGACTTGACCCAAGTGCCGATCAGTCCACGGGGCTGCCTGGAGCAGAGCGTTGACTGGGATTCTGAAACCAGAACTGAGCCCCCGGGCAGCAGGATCAACCCCCAGTTTCCACCGTAAGAATGGGGTGGGGGGAACACCTGTACCAGGCACCAAGCCCCCCACCCCAAGTTTAGGGCTTTTCATACCAACTGCAATGCCGGTGGGTCATCTCCTATTTTGGGGTTCCCTAGGACACTTGTCCCTCTTACCACACACGCCTGGGAACACTGGTGTTTAGATGCAGGCCTCGGGCCTGGCCCTCACCACCCGACCTCCCCCTCCCTGGGGGTCTCCAGCTGGAGCTGCCCCCTCCTCACCTTAGGCTGGAAGGACACGCGGTGCTTGGCGGGCTCTGCCTCGGGCTTGGCCTCCTCCCCCGAGTCCTCGCTGTAGCTCTCAAACTCGCTGGAGCTCCAGCCGAGGTCCTCGGGCTCCCGGGGCACCCCGTCCCGCTGCACGTCCTCGTAGAGCAGGCTCCGCTCCACCCCTCCTGGCCAAGGGACAGGGCTGTGAGTGGAGGCCTGGCAAAGCCCACCTGACCCAGTTTCTGAGGTGGGCAGGTGGGGAGGGCACGGCAGGGCCCCGGGGCCCCAGCGCTGCCTCCTCATCCATAAAGCGGAGACAACACAGGATCAGAGTGAGGAGGACACGCGAAAAGGGAGAAGAGCCAGAATGCACCAGGCCCACCACAGGCTCCGTCACTGCCTCCCACCTTCACGTTATTTTTCGGGGAGCTCGATGCTCCTTCGGCGCCTCCTTGCATTTTCTTTTTTTTTTTTATAAATTTTTTTTAATTTATTAAGCTTTTTTTCTTTTTTTTTAAGATTTATTTGTTTATTTATACAAGCACTGGGTACAGTCAGAAGCGCGGGAGGGTGAGAGAATTCACCAGAGCCAGAGCGGGGAGCAGAGCAGGCAGAAGGACCGAAGTACACTGCTGAGGGGAGCAGCGGGTGGCAGGAGAGGTCTGCGCGCCATGTGGGACCCTCCTCCGGTGGCCAGGGAGCAGCCGGGGATCGAACCGGTGCTGCAGAGGCTGCGGGCACCTTCGCAACCCAGCGCTCAACCGCTGCGCCACTGGGGAGGCCCTCCTTGCATTTTCTTAGTGGGAAAGATAAAACCTAGGCCCAAGTCCTGACTCGGGCCTTTGACTCTGGCCTCAGCATCTTCCAGGCTGAAACACAGAACATGGGGCTCATTCAAGGAATCTGAACTCCTCACCCCAAGTCCAAGTTCCCAGTGTGGGTCCACAATGGTCCAGCAGGGGGCGCACCTGGCCCAGAGACCCACAGGAAATGCCTTGAACTGAAAAGGGGCAGGGCCACTCTTGGGGTCCCAGTCAAGTCTGGGTGAGACGCAGCTTCCCGGGTGTGCGCTGGTCAAGGCGCTGGGGCCAGAGGGCAGGGCCCGGCTCCACCACCGGGAGAGGCCCCGCCTCACCTGCTCCCGTCACCTGAGGGGACCAGACAGCAGACCTCATCCCAGGGAGGCTGGGCCCCAGAATGTGGCCGGCCGGACGCCCTTGTCAACACAGAAGAAACCTGGTGCTGGGGGAGGATTTTATGTTTTTGTTTTTAATGTGCTCAAAAATAAATAAATAATCTGCTCAGGCCAAACCCATGTAAGCCACTGGGCGAGAACTTTGGTTACTGGAGATCTCGCTGCGAAATGGGGATAATACACTGAAAGGTCAAACAAATAAAGTATGAACAAAAATCTCTTGGCAGAGAGCCTGGCACATTGAGGGTGCTGGGCCAAGAGTGGCTGGCCCCCACTTGTGGGGACTCTGGTGTGCTCAGGGGTTATCACGCTGACCAAGAGTCCCCCTCGTCATACCCACCCCCCAAGAGAGGAGGGGGGCTTGAGTGGGGTGGAGGAAGGCCTGAGAGACTCAGCCAAACCACAAAGCAGAGGCACTGAGGCTTAGCTGGAGCCTCGGGTCCCAGGATGAGGGAGCACGAGGTTATTTTTAAGCAAAAGATAATAGTGACTAATGTCTCCAGGGAGTTGAGCAGCTGTGACCCAGGTTGTGACTTTTACAAGGCCAGGCTGATCATTCTGTTACTGCAAGGGAGACCCTGTGACCCACGAGCAAAAGGAAGGGCCACAGCAACACCTCGAGATCAGCCTGCACCAGCCTCCCCGGCCCCCTACTCCTAAGTGCCACTTCTGCCTGCCAGTTCTCCCTGAGGCCCTGTGGGGTGAGCAGGTGCAAAACATCACACCCTCCAATCAGACAGATAAGAAAACAGGGCTGGCCCATGGTGAGACCATGCGTGGGGAGGTGGCTGCGGGCCCCTAGCCCAGCTCCATCCACTCACCACACAGCCTTCAAAAGGTCCCGCCACCCTGACAGCCACCCTGAGCCCAATTAGAATATTCTGTCCAGGGCATCTATGTCACTAGATTCCTGAGCCTGTGGTGGACCCAAATGCCAAATCCTCAGCTTCCGGAGAATCACGGGTTCCTGGTCCTCTGCCCCTACTCCCAGGGTCTCGAGCTTCAGAATGCTCGAGGGCGGTCACAACCCCACTTTCACAAGCCCCCCCCCAACTGCTCAGCACCTTACAGTAGTTCCCAGGGAAGCCTCAACACCTTAAGGAGGGAGCTATTGGTGTTCCCCAAGTCACGTGACATCAGGGTGATACTGGTTTTATTTTTTTTTATTATTCTTTATTATTTTTATTTTATTTTATTTTGCATATTTTTACACGTTTTCATTTTTGAACAAAATATCCATTTTCATCTTGGTTATTTTTTTTTTGGTCTGGTTCTTTATTTTTACCTCTTTTTTTTTTAAATAATAAATTTTATTTTTATATTCCCCATACAATTGCAACCCCCACATTCTGACCCCAATCCCTCCCCTCCTGGCCCCCACCCCCCAAAAAGTGTCTCTGGTTCATAGTTTTTTGTTGATTTTGATTTTCACTTTCTTATAGTTATTCATTTGCCTGGTCCCTTATTTAAGTTTTCTAGATTTCTGCTATGAGTGAGACCATCCGGTATTTTTCTTTTTCTTTTCTTTTTTTTTTTTTTAAGTTCTTATAATACATTTTATTTTTATATTCCCCATACAATTGCAACCCCCCCATTCTGACCCCAATCGTTCCCCTGATACTGGTATTATAGGAGAGAGGCCAGTCCCAAGGGCCCAGAACCCTGTCCCCACTGACAGCAGAGCCCAGAATTGAGCCCCGGATGGTGTGTCCACTGGCATGTGTGGCTCCCACCTCAGCCGATACCCTCGCCCCCAAGGCCACGCTGAGCCCACACCAGTCCATGTGGACATGAGCCCACGCCGTGCTGGGCGTAATTCCAAGTGAGGCCAGTCAGAGCCACACTCCGCTCTCCCCTGAGCCCTGCAGGATTTGCAGGCTCAGAGCTGAGTCCCGGCCCCAGCTCTTAACCACCTTGCCTTGGGGTAAGTGTTAGGAAGGCAGGGACATGCCACATGGCCAGACCCTGGGGACATGCAAAGACTGGGAACAAGATCCTTGATTTGATTCCATGGGAAAATAGCCCCGAGGGACCCAACAACAGGCCACTCAGCTCTCCCAGCTCTGGGACCTTCCTGGGAGACCCCATCGCCTCCCAGCACACCGTGTCTTCTCCCCACTGTTCCCAGGATTCAAATGATCGATTGGCAGGGAACTATGCTCCAGACTCATCCAGGGCTTGCTAAAGGGATGGCCATATCGCTGGGCCTGGGTCAGTCAGGCTTGGGGCTCTGGGAGCCCATGGGTCTTGTCATGTCTGTGTGTCTCTCCCATCTCGGCCCTCATAAACCCCAGGATGCTCACAGCCACCCCATCACACTAGGAGCCAGGCATAAGCAGGGGTTGTTTCCCCCAGAAGGTGGGGAGCCCTGAAAGTAGGCAGGATGGTATAGTAGAAAGAGCGGAGTCAAGCAGATGTCCACTCAAGTCCTGGCTGTGCTGTCTGGGGCTGGTGGCTTAACCTCTGATGTGACCATCAACTGGAGTCTCAAGCCCCGCCAACCTCACAGGGCTGACTGAACAGTGAGAGTGAGCTGCTGTTCTGTCGTGAAAGGCTGCCCGCATCCTCCTGGGGAAGGGGCAGAGCACTGTACTTAGTCAGGACCACCCAGGTTTGAGTTCCAGTCCTGGCCTATGAAATGAGGGCATAAGACCCCAAGTCAAAGCTTTGGAGAGACACACAGACATGACAAGACCCATCTGGGACAACACAGGCAGAGTCGCTGGCCCGGTGTGAGCAGGCAAAGCGGCCCTTGCCGTGGGCTGCTGTTAGACATCCCCTCCTGGGAGCAGCTCTCACCCCTTCTCAGTGCCGGCAGGGCACTAGCTTTCTCAAGCTTTCTCTGCTTCACCCTTTGGTGAAAGGAAATTGTCATTTCCCCTGACACTTGGGGAACCCAATCATTCACCCATATTCCTGAGGAGAAATCAAAGACAAGGAGCCCTGGCCCCTCCCCAGCCCGGCCACGCTCTCCAGCCCCCACACACCCCCTGCATGACTGACTCACTTTATAAAGACAAGGAGGAGGAGCTGGGTGGTGCCTGGGCAAGAAGTGGAAGGAGACCCGAAAGCCCCCTGGCCCCACCCCTGGGTCCCCAGAGAAGCTGGGAAGAGGCCATACCGGGCTGATGGGCATCCAGGTTCTCACAGGGGACGTCGTCATAAATCACATCTTCTTCCAGGGCAGGGAATGTGAACCGGTCGACTGAGGAAAGAGGTGGAAGAGCAGGAGCCAGGCTGTGGCGGCCCCGGCAGCTGGCGGCTGCCAGGCTGACCTCAGGGCAGCACTGGCAGCACCTCCCTCCTCAGCATCCTGGTGATTAGGCCAGTTCCGGGGAGACCCATCAGCCATTATCAGGGCCCCGCAGACTCTCCCAGTGACCTCAGCAGACCCCTGCCTCCCCCCGCTACCCACAGCTGCCTGCCTGTCTGACTCATGGCACCAGCATGCTCAGTGGTCCAGGTCTCCAGACTCCCCCCAGAAGGAGCCAGCTGCCCCCATGGGTGAGGGCAAAGCAGCCCTAGTGAGTATAGAGAATGGCAGTGGGGGGCAGGGTGGATTTGAAAAGTGGGGCTAAGGAGAGTCCCCAAAACTCAGCTGGCAAATGAGCACCTGCATCCCTGACATTCCCTGGATGGAGTGTGGCAGAGTGCCCATCCTGCCCACGCCAGCGGTGCCAATGGGGACAAGCCAAGGAGTCTCCCCGCAGACTGTGTGCTCCATCTCTGGGCTCAGAAACCAGCCCCCTCCACTGACAGGAGCTGTCCTCACCCGCAGGTGAGGGAAGACAAGGAACCAGATGGACTGTGAAGTCCCCACTGTCCAAAATGTGATGCTTCCAGGACCCTCAGGGCCTCGCCCCCAACCCCTCTCCATGCCCATGTGAATTCTGCCTCCCGTGTGGCTCTCAGGCCAGCCCACCCCTCCCCAGGCCCCTGATCCACAAGCAGACTCCTGTTCCAGGACAGCGTCCCTGCCGGCTCCAGCCCACCTAGGAGAAATTGAACTGCAAGGCAAAGGTGGCCATATCGCGTGCCTCACGGCCCCCTGCTGCCTGTGGAAAATGGCTGCTCCCTGGGGCCAGGCTGATCCTTGGGCTCCTGCACAACAGCCTCTCTGCCTGCTCCCCTACCGGCCCCACTCCCCCGCCCTCTGCCTGCAGGATTCCTGTGTCTCAGAGCTGCCACCTCCCCATCCTGGCACCCGTCCTGCATGCTGTCTGCTTCTGCTCCAACAAGGGACCTGGTCCAATCACCAGTCACCCACCACCCTGCCTGGCCCAGCTGCTGCAGGGGCTCCCTAAGTGTCTCAAGAGCCTGTCTCTGCTCCCGGGCACAGCTTTCACTGTGCTGCAAACGGGGCACCACTCCAGGGTGGATGCCACCACCTCCCCCCGAGCCGCCGCCATGCCCCCACCCACCCCCACCCACTACCCACCCCCCACCCCCCCACACCCACCTCCTCCCACCCCCACCCATCACCCACCCCACCCACCCACCCCCACCCACTCCTCACCCCCACCCCCACCCCCCCCACCCCCCGGTGAGGATGGCCCCTCAGCTCAGCGAGGGCTCTGAGGTCATTGTCCTAGCAGTCCCCGCCTGGGCCCAAGGACAGGGGTTACTTACTGCGGCGGGAGCTCTTCCGCCTCCAGCTGGAGCGCTGGACCCCAGAGAAAGCTGCATCCCCAGCATCCCCGTTGCTCAGCACAGGCAGTACCCTGCAGGCCAGAACAGCACAGGTGAGCAGGCAGGGAGGGGAGCCACCAGCGAGCCCAAGGGCCAGGATGGAGGGTGCACCAGGGTGGAGGGCACCTCGCATGGGCAAGGGCGGCTGAGGGGCTGGAGCAGCGGCCCCCAAAGCCATCAGTCAGGGGGGCTGGACTAGGACAGGCCCCTTTCTCCTCAGTTTCCCCATCTTTAGAAGGCACTGGAAGGTTGATATGAGGCTTCACAAGAGCAGGAACACCACGGAGTCCTGGTGAGGAGGATCAAGGGCACTCCGGGCCAGGGCAGACTCGGGGGTGCTCTCCATCCCCCACCCCCCCATGCAAGTAGAGTCTCGGGCGGGGGCACCGGACGCTTGAGAGAGACAAGGATGGGCAAACGTGAAGAGGCCACGCATGGGAGGCAGAATCAGTCCCACCACACATTTGAGGATGGGTGGGGCTGAGAGACACTGGCAAGGACCAGAGCTAGAGGCAGAGGGGAAGGCCTAGGGCAGGCAGAGAGCAGCAGGAAGGGCCCTCGCCTCGGTGCTGTCTCACCCAAGCCCAAGGCCCCAGTCCAGTCACGAGACTGCACACTGTACTCTGCAAGATGGCACAGGAGGGGGCACTGCTGCCCATTCTGCAGATGAAGAGACCGAGGCTCACAGAGACTCAGTTACTCACCCAGAGTCGCTCCCCCCCTGCAAAGCTGTGTTCTTCCCACTGTGCCACGTGGAAGCCGGAAACTCACATTAAAATATTCACCTACAGGGCCTCCCCAGTGGCACAAAGGGCTAAGAAGCAACCTATAAAGTTATCCGCAGCCTCTGCAGCATGAGTTCGATCCCCAGCCAGGGAGCAACCCACATGGCGCAGCAGACCTCTCCTGTCTCGCCCACTGCTCCCTTCAGCAGTGTATTTCAGTCAATTTGCCTGTTCTGTTCCCCACTTTGTCTCTGGTGAATCCTCTCACCACCCCCTACACCTCTGGCCTGTACCCCTGTTCTTATATGCATAAATAAATCTTTTTTTAAAAAATTCACCTACATCACAGACCTGCTGCAGCATGAGACCCCGAGCCTCACAGGACGTAGCCAGATGTTTCATGTTTTTTTTAAGTGAGGGAAGAAATAGCTCTGGGTACCAAGATGGTGGCAACTTCAAGTCTCCATTCAAGAGAAGTGGTAACACTCAGCCCCAAGGCTGCGGAGCAGGTCAACCAGAGAGCACGCGAAGGCCCTGGATAAACTCTGAGAGTGACACCAGGGGGCTGGACAGCCCTGGGCGAGCCAGGCAGCTCCACAAAGGATCTGGAAATACTTCATGACACTATGAAAGCCAGAGAGGCTGCAACATGAGCCTCCTGGTTGAGCATGACCAAAACACAACACACCTAATTTTTGGTTATATTTATTTTTAAGTAGTAATTGACTTTTAAATAGCTACATGTGGCTGGCGGCCACCATAAAGCACAGCAAAGGTCTAAGCCACCTGCACGGCCGGAAAAGCCAGCCTGGGCTCAGAGGTCCAGGGAGCAGGCACCCCAGGTACTGACTGGCCCAGGCGTCCTGGGCTTGGAGATGGGGGTGGGGTACCACATAGCTTAGAGCAGTCCAGCTCCTGCGCACCCCCGCCACCTCCCTGGCTGAGACAAGCACACAGACCAGGATCCCCAGAGAAGAGAGTGGTGGCCCTGGGCAGAGGAGTCTTAGGCAGGCTTGGCTAGAGAAGGCCCCGCCCCGGCCTGTGGCCTGCTGGTGTCTGCCAGCAGTGTCCTGGAAGCTTGAGGTTCACCCTCCTGAGGTCACCATTTCACAGGTGAGGAAAATGAAGCTCCCAATAGGCAAGTCCACTGCCCCAAGTCACCTGGCCAGCAGGTGGCAGAGCTGCGATTTAAAGATCTGATCTGGCTGCAATGCCTGGCTCTCTGCACTGGCTCTGGGGCAAGTGTTTCCCAGGTGGAGGAGGGGGGGCGGGTCCCCCAGGTCAGGGATGTGTCTAAGGCAGGGGAGCTGTGTGCTCAGGGTGCATGTGCCTAGAGGGCAGAGAGAGAAAGGAGTCTGGAAGTGCGTCCTCCCTCCTAGTCCCTTCAGCTGCCCACCGAGGCCACTGCCCAACCTGCACCCAGCCATTTGGCTGCCACTCCCAGCTGCTGCCAGGAAAGTCAATGCTCCTGTGCAAACACTCACTCTGGGGCCTCCACAAAGGTTCCCGATAAGCAAAGAGCCATCAAGAGCAGTAAGAGGCCAATTATCTCACATTTATCTCAGCTTCCTGCACTTCTTAAGCCTCTCAGTTTGCACAGGAGAGAAAGGCTAGTGACCGCAACCAGTTTCACAAGGTGGTGTCACCACCTCCCCAGTGCAAAGGAAGAAGTGAGCCCACAGAGAGGAACAGACAATGAGAGCTGGGTAGAGAAGAGGAGACAGGCCAGGACCCTCCCAGTCCCACAGCGACAGTGTCACCTTCAACCAGACTGTGCCCTCAGGGTCTCCTTGGCCCACCCACTCTCCCGAGGACCAGCAGGGAGGTGAGGGGAGTGAGAGTCTCCAGACAGCAGAGACAGGCTCAATCCTGGTTGCCCCATTCCACCGTGGACACCAATGCCCTCCCAGGGCTTTTTAAAGATAAGACACCCTGCTATGGAGAAGGGCAGTGTCCCAATGCCCCACAGCCACTGGTGCAGGCCCCACTTCATAGTGAATCTCTGTGGGTGACAGTTCCTCGGGGCTCCATCCCACAGGTGACACAGTGTGGGTGCTGGGGGGAAGACCCCAAAACCAGACTGCTCTGAAGGTCTGGCCAGCTGGACCAAACACCCACAGGGCATTTCTAGGCCCTCTTCCAGGACAAGGTATGAGAAATATGAATGAGGAAAGAACGTCACCTTTGGGGAATAGGGAGACCAGAACACTTGCCTTATTTGGCCTTTCATGAATCCATCAGCAGCCCAGGGGGCTCCCAGCAGGACTGTCCCCAGCAATTCCCAGCCCCCCCATCTCCACTACCCCTAACTCCAAGAACAACAAAAGAACAGCAGATGAACCTGCCGCCAGATTTCTTTCCTGCCCCAACAACTTTTTAATCTGTTAAAGACAAAGGGTTATAACCACCTGAAGAGATGACGCCAGCCCCCGGGAAGCCCACAGCCCAGCCAGGCCCAGCCCCAGTTCTCACCCCTTGTCTAGAGGGGCCCAGGTATCAGCATTTTTAAAGCTCCCCGCTGGCTCCCCCGTGAGCCAAGGCTGAGAACCAGGGTTCCCGGGCTCAGGGCCGAGGAAGCGAATGTTCAGGACTCAGAAGACCTGGGATAAATGGCTCTTTCTCTTGCTCTGTGAGCAGGGACGTCACCTAGTGTCATTTAACTCATGCCACAGTGAACAACTGGGTCTACTTTCTGTTGTGAGGAATAAACAGGGCCTTGGCCCAGAGTACTTAGTGTCTCTCTGTGCCTCAGTTTCCCTGTCTGTGAAATGGGGTGACGATCTCTCCTTCCCAGGGTTCGGGTAAGGAGTGCATGAAGAAGGCACGGGGGTCTGGCACCTGCCGAGGCTACTCCAGCCCCATCCTTCTGGGCCGCTTCAGCGACAGCGTCCTGCTCCAACCTGCAGGCCTGCCCTGCACATCAGGGCCGCACCCCTCCCCTACAAGAAGCATCCACAGTGCCAGTCTGTCCGTGCTGCCCCACACGTGGGCACAGATCCACTTCTGCTTGAGTAGAGCAGGGGGGAAGCCTCGGGAAATCTGGAGAAGAGCCCCTCATGCAGTGTCCAGAACACAGACCTGGATGAGGGAGCCACCTCCATGAGCAGGCCTGGTCCCACAGCCAAGGAGGCCATGCAGACCCTGGCCTCCCTCTCTGAAACCTCGAGGCAGTGTGGTCCACTGTGGACAGGCACCATCCCCCAGCCATGGCTCGTCGAGAGCCATGTGGGGTGGTGTAGAACACGGGTTCCCGCAGGGGAATGCAAAGTTAAGTTGATTAAGTTAAAAAGTGAGCCATGAAATAGCATGTGCAATAAAACCACAGCTCCATTAAAGGAAGAATCCTGCGTATGTGTGTGTACACACAGAAGGAAGCTGGGCCGGAGCCTAGCAGTAGAATTAAAGGTCACTTTTACTCTGTCATTTTCTGTACTTTCCTTTTTTTTTTTTTTTTTTTTAAATAATAAACACATATGACTTATCAGAAAAAAAAAAAGAAACAAAGACAGGAAGAAAGGAAACACATCACAGGAAATGACTGGCAAGGCACCAGCCAGGCAGGGACCACCAGGCTCTTCCTGGGCGCTCGATAACGATATGTGGGGTGGGAGGATGTGGGGGGACAGGGGTGAAGGGCAGTGGGATTCCCTATCAACAAATAGGACAATGGCCAAGGGCAGCAGCCCCTGACTTTGAGCCCCAGCACCACCACCTGCCAGCCCAGGCCCTGGGGCTAGTGACCACACCTCTCTGGGCCTGCAGAAGGGGGCCCATAACAATCCCCTTCACCCTCCTTCTGTTAGTCTCCTCCTGGACTGCAACGTTGGGGACTTAAAACAATGCAAATATATTATCTTACAATTGTGGAGGGTGAAAATCCAAAATGGGTTTCAGCAAAGTGAGGGAGGTGGGAGGGAGAAGCCGTCCCATGTCCCCTGCCTAATCTAGCCACCTCAGACCCTTGGTTGGTTGCACTTGGGATGTACTGGGTCTCCCAAGTAGTCTAGGGAAGTGTCCCCAAGGCAAGAGACTCCACATCTGCAAAGTCCCTTTGCCAAGCTTGCTCTGGGGATTAGGGTAGGAGGCTTGGGGGAGGGGCCTACCTGCCAGCACAGCGGTGAGGACCAGAATGAGCCACACACCGTAAAGTGAGGCACGTGCCAACTACTGGATGGTACCTTCTTTGTGCCAGAGACCAGGGATGGAAGATGAAGGTGGCAGAGCACCCCTGTGCAGGACCAGGGGTGGACCTCACCAGGCCCCCGGTGGGGGTGCTCAGTGTAACACATGGGTCCACGGGTACCTTTCACAGGGAAGCTGCTGGCTTTTTAGTGGGTACTCAAAAGAGTCTGTGATTCAAAAGCCACAGCTCTACTGTGGAAACCCTTGAAACCAGGGGTGGAAAGGAAAACAACAAATAAAATACAGCTTTTCTGATTGAGGGGCTGGAGAAGGAGGCCTGAACCCCATAACCTCCCATGAGTGACTCCACTGGGGTGACGATCTGCCGTGTCTGAGGACAGGACTCGGGGGGCTACAGGTGCTCAGATTGGGGAAGGCAGCAGTCAGAAGCACAGCCCAGGGCTCCAAGCACCCCAGGCTGGGTCTCCAGGATCTGGAAAACTCAGAGGGAATTCTATGACAGTGCTGGGGGACACTCCAACCTTATCAGCCTGCCCTTCCTAAGAGCCACCATGGTCCCCCAACGCCACTAACCTCAGAAGCCTCAAAGCCGCAGACAAGAAGGCATCTTGTACTGTACCTAAGTCTGTCCTGTCTGAACGCTGAGCATGGCCCCCTCTGGTGTCTCGGCACTGGCTTGTGTGTCCTCAGGGGAGGACACGACTCATTGCCTCTCCCAGAAGTCCAGCTGCCTGACCGTCTCCCTCAGGGTCCAGGCCAGGGTGGGCAGCACAGTCCATCTTATCTGGATGGACCCAGGAAAGGCAGCCAGGCAGGCACCTCCAGGGAGCCACTGAGAGTCCGGGCAGGGAACCAAAGGCCTGACCCACCAGGCAATACTGAAGCTGAGGGGGCCTCTGAGCCTGGCAGCAAAACTGAGCAGGAAAAACAAACAACCTGGAGGGGGCCAGAGTCCAGGGGTTGGTGTACTGAGAGGTGAAGAGAGCTGCCTGAGTCCAGTGGCCACATGCTCTGGCTTCCCGGTGGCCACTGGGTACTCGGGCAGCTCTTTTAGGCCACAGGAGCTCAGGGGGTTGTGAGTGTAGAGGCTTCAAAGTCCACCAGGAAAAGTCTGCCCTGCATATGGGCTCTGAGGGATGCCCCAAATTTATTAGTTTGATTTATTGCTGCAGGTACAGCAACAATCAAATCGCCCCCACCACCCAAAATACCCTCTCTCCAAGGGGTGACAATTGCATGCCCCCTCCACCAACACCAGACCTCTGGGTGGGGGGGGGGTCTGCTTTTACTCTTCTCCCATGTCTGGGGGAAGGGCCTCACCCAGAATCACCAGCAGCACCAGCATCGAGGCCACTGTGCCCGGTTCCCCGGGTACGTGGGAGACCCCACCGACTGCTTGAAGCTATTCTCCCAAGGGCTCAGAGAGCCTCTCTTCACAGGCAAAACCCTTAACCCGGTAAACACACACCATCGGCTGGTTCTTTTGGGGGGGCCACAACCCACCATGAGGCCCTGGGCCTGGACCAGCACTTCCTGGGGTAACACAGAGGTGAAACCCCTGCCTTGGGGCTTGCCAGCATCCTGTCTCGGTCCTGAGTGAGCTTCCCTGAGCCTCAGCGTCGCCGTCTGTAACGGGGTAAGGACAGTGTCTGCTTGCTGGAGACGAGGAGAAAGGGACTGGGCATTCTGCTCTGTGCCCGCTAATCAGTAATCGTGATTATTTCCATCACTGCGATTATGATGTCACTATCTGACAACAGACGTGACCAGCTGGGGAAAGAGAAAGTGTCACCAGCGAGCGGAGCTCCTTGTGCATTGAGTCTTTATTTTTTCCCACAGCCATCCCTTATGGACCTCTGACACCTCCCTCACCCGACCTCCAGAGGCCACATAATCTGCTGGAGCCTGCTAGCCTGGGTCCACATCCTGCTTTATCCAGCCAGCTGCTATGTATATGTCCAGGATTTGCTTTACTGCGCATCACTCCCTCCATTTTGCTGTAAATGGCAGCATTTCATCTTTCCTGTGGGTGAGTAGGATTCCATTGTACTTTTGCCCAACAGCAAGGTGGACGCAACTGAGACCATCCTCACTCCTTTGGATTGTGGAGCAGCCTAAAATCACCCACGGGCTTCAGGTGAACAGACACCCAGCAATGCCAGCAGCTCTCTTTACCCCACAGCAGCCTGGCTGCCACCTCCACAGGCCTCAGAGCCAGAGGCCTGCAGAGTCACCTCGACTGCCAGTCAGCCTCACCACCCCCCCCAACCACCAACCAGCCAGCAGCTGTAGTTCTCTTCCCAGGGCAGACTCTGGCAGCATGTCGGCCAGAGCTGGGTCACACCCAGGCCTGTCTGAGTCCAGAGACCAGGGCCAACCAGCTCCCGCTAAAGCCAAGCCAAGACCCGGATGCAGAACAGCGACACAGGCACATTGGGAGTGGCCAGCATGTGCCGGCCAGACTAAGTGCTGGACAGACACGAACCTTTGTGCCCCTCACAGAGTCCGGCAAGATGGGAGACTTACCAGCTCCCTTTAACTAATTAAGAAACCAAGATTCAGGACAGGAAGCAACTTGCCCCGTGACACAGAGCCAGTGAGCAGTAGAGCCAGCCTTGAAGCCAGGCCGGTGTGGCTCAGAGCCCGGCCATCCACTCACCTGCCCACCATGCTCCTGCCAGGGCGGCTCACCCGAGCTGGGGACCAGGGCTGCCACCTCCCGCCCTGCTGGGCCTGAGACACTCAGGCAGCCGATCTGGGAAGCTGTGCTCACTCCGTTGTCAGGAGCCTAGAGTGGGCAGCCCCAGCTCTTCGCCAGGCCGCCAAGCAACCCAGCAAAGCCCTGGGCAGGTGGGCCAAGAAAACACAGGAGGACGTGAAGTGTCCTCCACTTGCAGGCTTGTTTTTCCAAGGCAGGATTTTAGACCTTTTTTTCCCTTTTGGGGGAAAAATGAGAAGAAACTAAACAGGATGATTCTCCTCCCGGGGGGCTCCAGAAGAGAATGTCACCACCCAGGGAGGAGTGGAGACGGGCTTAAGTCACTGAAAGGGAGGGAATGACCAAGAGTGGAGGGAGCACTGGACAAGGAGTGAGGAGGCGCCAGCCGACACTGTGCTAAACCCAGACCCCGAAACACACCTTCCCTGACTGCCCTCCGCCTTGCAGACCCCTGCAGTCCAGCCCCAGTCCCCACGCCCAGGGCTTCCTTCTCTGCTTGCACGTGTCTGCATCCCTCGCCAGCTGAGTCTCATGGAAGCTTCAGCCTGACCTGCCCTGGAGGCTACCCAGAATCCAGGGGGACCACAGCCATGGCCGACCTCCCCAGTCCAGGTGCAGGACAAACAGGTGCTGCTGACTCATTTCAGGTCTCTAATCAGGGAGGAGAGGCTGGCCCCTACTTCTGGCCCTAATTATACAGCAGCAGGCCCGGCAGAAGCTTTCCCAAGGTCCGCCCACTCCAGGCGTCAAGTGAGCACAGGCGGAGGTCCTGGGCCAGACGGGAATCCGAGACTACCTCCTGCTGCAGGGCCAGGCCGCAGCCTGCTCCAGCAGGGCAGCTCCTGCTGAAGAATCAGCCCCCTGGCCCAGCTCTCAGGAAGACCAAGGGAGGTTCAAAGACCCCCCACTACCACCAGAGTGGTCAGGATTCAGGCCCCAGGGTCTAGACCACCGCTCACTACTTCCTTTAGAAACGGACTCTGAGCACCCGCGTGCCCAAAGCCAGGCAGCACGCAGCAGGGAAGAGACACGGGAGAGGCCACAGCTTTCAGGGCCCCAACCCACCATGGGCAGTTCAGCCCAGAGCGGCTTGCCAAAGACCAAAGAAGGGACTGTGGCCACGCCTGCAACGTGGTCTCACCGGGCAGTGCTTCCCTCTAGGGAGGAGTCAGGGGCCCACTGTATCAATGAGAAAAGCACAGACGGGAGGGCAGTAATTTGCACCAGGATCCGCGGCCAATGCTGGGGCGGAGTAAGACCCAGGCTGGCACCCAGCACCTGCCCGACTTCGGGCCATCAGGCCACCCAGCCTCACAGGCTGAGAGAGGCAGCAACCCTGGCAACAGCAGCAGTGGGGTGGGAAGGGCACTGACCCAGCAGATGGCAAAGACCACTGCTGTGGATGGATGCACCAAACACCAGCAGCCAGCCATGGGACTCTCCACCCAGGGGGTGGGTACTCTGCCCCACTCTGCACAGGGACAGGCTGACACAGGAAGGGTTTATGCCAGGCCTTCAAGCCATGCAGCTAGCAAGGGGCAGAGACAGGATTTGGAGCCCAGCCTGCCTAATTTCACAGGCTTGTGGACAAAATAAAGGAAGAAGTCACATGAGTGTCAGGGAATGACCTTTTCCTGGGGCCAAGCATCTTGAACAGCATCCTCCTTGGCAAAGACCTGTCTTGGGGCTCCCAGTCACAGCTCCACCCTTGCCCACACCTCCTGCCCAGTCTCTCCTTTTCCCAATGCCAAGGTAAAGGAACGAGGCTCACTTACTGCGTCTGGGGTGCGGCCGCTGGGTCTGGGTCTGCGGGAGAAGAGCAGAGGGAGAGCCCGTCAGGCCGGAGGCTGGCCCCATGGACTCAGCCCATCCCCGCCCCTTTCCCAGCCTCCCCAGGGGTGCGGGAGACAGGGCCTGGCTGGCCTGCTGGATTCCTGCCTCCTCCCTCCAGCCACCATCATTAAGCTCTCCTACCTGTCCTACCTGCACCTCCCCCACTCCCACCCGCATCCCCATGGCCCACATCGCAACTCCAAGCAGAACCAGCTGCCCTGCCTGCCCTGGGCCTGCCCCCCACCCCCAGCTCCTCAAGGAGCCCCTTGTCCCAAGCCTGCAGGAAGTTCCTGCTGGTCCGGTCCCCAGCCTCTCTGAGATGACAAAATCTAAGAGCCCAAAAGCTGCCATTTAACACCAGCCTTATCAGGGCCCTCCCGCCCCCAGGGCCACTGGCTCCCCAGGGCCGACTGGAGCCCGGCCCCTGGGAGGTGGCTCCTCTGGCTGGTGTGATTCTCTGGGAGAAACACAAGCACAGCCCAGACCAACTACTTCCAGATCCGAAGTGCCAGAGTGCCCCCACCAGATGCAGCAGGAATGCTTGGAATCCCCACTTCCCAAGGGAAGCAATGGAATGCAGCTCCTACCCAAGGGTTTCTCCCTTCCTGCTTTCTGGGGACAGTGGAGGGAGCACCAGGCATCTTGGGGAGCCTGGCTCTTCCACCCAGCCTTAAGCTCTCTGAAGCCCCAGAAGCCCGGAAACGGGAGGACCAAGGCTCCCAGAAGCACATTACCAGTGAGGGGGGTGGAGTCCAAGTGGATCAGTGGGGCGTCTGTGTCCTTCTCTGAAGCAGTGCCCGGGACGCCCAGGCCAGCGCTGGTGTCCTCGTCATCATCACTATCGTCAAACTCAAAGGCCTCTCCAGGGTCATCCTCCACCTCGGGGGAGGGGCCTGGGCCTCCGGGAACCAGCGGATCTCCTGGAAGGAAGGAGGAGTTAGTGGGGCTGCAGGGTCTTGGGCCGAGCAGAGCAGAGCCTGCTGAAGTGCTGATTTGCTGGGGGTCTGAGTGAGGCACCAGGCCGCTCCCAGAGACAAGATTCCAGGTGGTTCGGGCCAGGGAACCTGGGGTGTTCTGTGGCTGGTTCCGGCGCTAAGTCCATGGGCAGTGGACAGAGAGGAGCGAGCTTCCATGGCGAGCATGTGGCACAGTACTGGGGTGCATGTATGACTTTCATTGTCTTGGCTTTCTATTTTCCTGCTTTGTGAGCAAGGGGGCTTTTCTAAAGGCATCTGCACGAGCGCCCGTGGGCACTCACCTCCGTGTGTGTTCCCAAGCGAGCATGTGTGTCTGGTTACGTGGCATGTGTGTGAATGAACACACTCAGGCTCCGCTTACAGGCTGCCACGTGGCATGAAGCACAGCTGCCTGCAAGTCTTTGCAGCCTGGAGTACTAGCTTCAGGTACCAGGCACAGACTTGCCTGGGCAGGGTTAGGGCCCATGTTCCCAGCAAGGAGTCTGTCCCACAAGGCCTCACTCCCTACTTCTCCCTCCTGGGAGACCCGCTTCATGGCCATGTCTTCCATGTCTCCAGCAGAGCCCCCTGACGGCCTGCCTAAACGAGGACCTGCCTCCTCTCCTCTGTCTTAGCCCTGTGTGTTTCCTCCATCTGTTCCTGTATACCGGATAACAATTGGTTTTGTGCCTCTTAACCAATCTCGAATGCTAAGAGCAGACCCTTTGAGTGTCCCCTTTACGGGGACTGGTCATGGCCCAGGGTGTCACAGAGAAAAGGAAAGAACTCTGTCCTTGAGAGCATTCAAGCCCTCACCTGTCCGACTGCCCCAACCTCGAGCCCATGGTCTTCTCCCTTCTAAGATGTCTTTCCTACGAGCCAGGCCTGGACAGAAGCTCCCGCATTCACCAAGTCCATCCTCCAGCCTCACGCAAACACAAGCCAAACCCCAAGGGCAGTGTGGTCTGGCTTTTAAAAGTCTGTGAGGTCAGCCACCCACCCTTGGGCTCCCCTGAGCAGTGGGGCCTGTCTCTGCTCAGGCCACACAGTCTAGCTTAGGGCTCAGCCTGTCCTATCTGGGTCCCCTCAGCTGTGAGGTTCTGTGCACATCACTCCACCTCTCTGAACCTTGGTTTCGCCCTCTGGACACTGGAGAATAAAAGCAGCACCAGCAGGCAAGGCCGACGTGAATATGGACTGGGATGTCGGGCAGCGCTTCTTGGCCACTATTGACTTTGGGGCCGTGCGACCTTTGCCGTGGGAGGCGCTGAGGGATGTGGGGCAGCATTTCTGGCCACTACCCAGTAGAAGCCAGTGGTACCCTCCAGCTGTGGCCCAGAAACTGTCCTCAGGCACAGCCAATATCCCCTGGGGGCACACTCACCCCTTACTGAAAACCGCCAGGGCACCAGGAGCACCTGGCACAGTGCCCAGTGGGGTCACACAGTAACACCTGAGGCAATTCCTGTCCCCGCCCCGCCTGACAGCCTGGTCCCCGCTCAGACCCAGCCCAAGGTGTTCAGAGATGCCAAGGAGCGATGGGAGGATGGGGGGGGTGGGGAGCAGCGAGACTCAAGAACGGAGCTGCAGAGGGGCAGATGGACGTGTCTGATTCCAGCCATCTCTCTGACCAGAAAAATCCAATCCGTCCCACACGTAACCTGGGGTTTCCTTGAGCAGAACATTTTACTTTTTTTTAAGATTTATTTATTTATGCATACAAGAACTGGGGTACAGGCCAGAGGTGTGGAGGTGAGAGGACTCACCAGAGACAGTGGGGAACAGAGCAGGCAGATGGACTGAAACACACTGCTGAGGGGAGCAGCGGGCAAGACAGGAGAGGTCTGCTGCGCCATGTGGGTAGCTCCCTGGCCAGGCATCTAACTGGTGCTTCAATGGCTGCAGATGGCTCCAAAGGTTGCGTTTTAACCCCTTGCGCCACCAGGGAGGCCCTAGATGCGACTATATCAGGTTCAAAAAGGCCTTCCTTCAGCTGCTCGCTACTGCAAAAACCAGGGCTCCCCCGTCCTCCTAACTTTTTCTGGGGGTGATGACCAGGTAGAGACCACTGAATGGGTGGCCAAGCCCCTGCTCCTGGGAGCTGGGGGGACACTTCAGGCCAACACGGGAGGGATAGACACCTCTGGGCAGTGCTGTGGCCTGTGGCAGAGATTCCTGGGGAGCAGAGAAAAAACACTGGAATGTTTGGGGATGGGGTGGGGGGAGCCTCACCACCACCTCCATTTCATACAGGGAGACCCAGAGAGTCTGAGGGTTAAACAGGCCCCCAGCTCCCAGCCCCACAGCTAACAAGCAGGGAGCCGGCTTGACCCGGCATCTGCCTTAGTGCACACTCCGGACTCTCTCCCGCTGCCTCCTAAAGTCCCTCCAGCCCTTGGAAGCTGGGCCCCTGTGATGAATTAACAGAGGAAATACGGCAGGAGTGTCCAGGGTGGAGCAGCAATTTCAAATTACTATTCCCAACCCAGTGGGGTCATGAAATCAATTAGGGGGTTCCCAGGCAGCCTTTTGAGGATTTTTAAAAATTATAATGTTAACAAATCACCTTTGGTAAGATGTTTAACATTGTTTTTCACACCTTTGTGCATGTGTGTGAGTGCCCGTGTGTGCCTGTGCATGCCTGTGTGTGTGCCTGTGTGTGTGCCTGTGTATGTGAGCCTGCATGTGTGCGCGTGTGTGGCTATGCATGTGTGTGCGTGTGTATGTGTACCATCCTCTACCACCCTCCTCTGCCACCCCCTTGCTCACGACGCCCCGCTACACAGGCCTTCTGCTAACCAGGAATGTACCAGACATGCTCCTGCCTCAGGCCTTTGCGCTTTCAGTCCTGGAAGCCAGAATGTTCTTCACCAGGCACTTTCCCCCACTCTCAGCCCTTCAGGTCTCACTGTACGTCATCTCCCAGCGAGGCTGCCACGATCAAAACCACCCCAAGAGATGCCTGGACCCCCACCTGCCAGGCAGCTTATTTCCCTCTGCAGCCCTTGCCAGCTCATGGCACATGTTCATGTCTGCCTGGCTCACGGCTGCTTCCTCTGCCTCCAGGCCGGGCCCAGCACATGGCAGGCACATGCCAAGAGCCTGTCAGACATACACACACACAAACCCACAAACATACATGCTATTGTCATGTCTCAGGCTATGGGTTGAATCAAAGTTAAAAAAATACTAGAATAAATACCGCAAAGTCCTTGCCTGCTATTTTGGGGCTACCAGACACAGATGCATTCTGATGCCCGGGCCCCTGCCCACTTGACTTTGCTGGGCCCTTGACCCATGGCCATTATTGATGTAGTGACCAAGGTCACACAGTCAGGCCAGGTGGGCTGAGAGTCCACTCTCCCCTGTACTGGCCTTGTGGGTGTCAGGTTATCCCCAAAGCTGCCATGGCTGATCAGTAAAACGAGCGCATTGATGGTGACTACCTTGCAGGGTGGTCAGGATGATGGGATGTGTAAAGCACCTGGTGCAAGATGCTGCACTAACGTCAGCTGTTCTCATGGCGACTGTTCTACCCGTCAGCACCGTCATTGTGTCACCATCACCATGAGTCATGGCCCAGCCCCTGAACCTGGGTGACGTGGGCAGCCTCCCCACTCCCAGGCCAGTCTCAGGCCCCTTGGCCACAGGCTGTGGCCAGGGACAAGGGTCATTTCTGCACCCTTCCTTGGCAACCGCAGTCTGGCTAGCCTGTCATGTATCCAGCAACCTGCTCCAGGCAGGCCCTGGGCCGGGAGGTCAGAAGTGAGACATGGCTCCTCCAGCAAGGAGCTCTCTGCTGGGTGTAGCGGACTGATATAGCAGAGGAAGGATGCTCAAAGGCCCCACAGGCTGGGAAGGGGCCTATAAGCTCGGGTCACAGCAGGAGTGGAGAACAGTGACCCAGTGCAACTGAGGAGATGAGCCAGGAAGAGGGGGCAGCAAGACAGCTGAAGAGGTATTTGGGAAAACTGGGATGGTGTTTGGTGAGACAATGAGAAGCTCCTGAAGAATCAGAAACTGGCAAAGAGCCCAGTCCATCCAGCAGGTAACAACAGCCACTTAATGCTAAGATGATATATTGTTGTTATTGTTCTGACTCTCCACGCTGGGTCCCCTGGGTAGAGAGGACAGAGGGTGTAGGGTGCCCATGGCAGCAGGGGCCAGAAGGTGGGCAACCTGGGACCAATGTGACAGTTACGGATCAGCCCCAGCTCTGTCCCCAGGATCCTGAGACATGGGCCATCACACGTGGCTCCTCAGGAGAGATCGGGAGACCCAGCCTGGGTGACTGAGAGTTGAACTGCACCCTTCCAGCCCCTCTGACCAAACACAGCTGTAATGTTTCTGGACATGCCCCACCCTTGGGAGAGCCAACCTCAGCAAGTCCAGGAGGTGAGGACCCAGGAAGCCACCCAGGGATGTGGAGAAGTTGAGTCCACTGAGCTGCCCCCCTTTGCAGAAGAACATGGAGATTCAGGAAGGAAGAGGCACCGACCAGGGCTCAGGACCGGGCTCCTGCGGACACCATGGCACTGATCCTTCCCACTCACCCAGCACCTCGCGCCAGGCCTCTCGGGGACATGAACCTTGCCACAACCGGGAGGTGGTGTCACTAACACCCCCAAGCTCATGATGATGAACCGGAACCACAGACCAGAGGCATCTGCTAAGCCATGGTGGCAGTGGCAGGGAGCCCTCGCTCATTACCACCCCTCCACCTGCCTCCCCCAAAAGGGACAAGAGTACAGGAAGCTGGGATAGGGGGTAAAATGGCCTTGTGTCCAGCTCCCCCAGCACTGGACACCTGCAGCGCCTGAGGCTCCACTGCTAGGGCCGCCAGAGGAAATACAGCGGGTAGAATTAAATTTCAGATAACAAATAACTGGCTTTTAGCATCGAAATGCATTTTTCTTCTTTGGGGGCCACCTCTGGCTATGTGGCCTTAGAGCCTGAACATTTGGAGTGACATGGCCCCGCCCGCTGCCCTCAGGCCCTAGGCTCCTACCCTTCACTCGCAGCTCGCCCAAGCGCATCTCCCTCAACCCCAACGCTCATCCAGAGCCCACTCCATGAGGAGGAGTTCTGTTTCCATTTAGCAAACAAGGAAACTGAGGCAGAGGGCTGAAGTCACTCCCCAAGGACGCTATTCACACTGGGGTTGGCCTGCGCCAAAGCTAGCAGCCCCCACCCCGCTGGAGGGGAGGGAGCAGGCCCGGGTGCCGTACCTCTGGCAGTCTGTGCAGGCGGGTTGGAGGAAGCCATTAGACAAGGTCCCACTCAGACCAGCAGCGTCCAGCCGCTCGCCTGTGAAAAGAAGCCAGAGATCTCATTAGAGGGCCGTCATGGCCAAAGCGTCAGCAACAGAGAGTCACTGGGCATGGCCCGTGCACCCAGCCCCCCAGCTCTCACGCCCCTTCCCAGCAGCTCCAGCAGCACAGGGTAGCCCCAGGAATGGCCGGGCCTTCACTGTTCATAAATCATTAACCCAGAAAGCCTGGCCAGCCGCTGCAGAGCTGCAAGGCCCCCTCCAGAGCTGGGGGGAAGCCCCCGCTGCCAGACTCTCCTTCAGCCCAAGTCAAGGGAGACCAACCTCGGGCGCCCAGGGGTTCAGCTGGACTCCTCCATCCCCCTCTCCTGTTTACAGGTGAAGCTCCAGCCCCAAGAGGCAGCTCACACTCAGGCCCCCGTGTTCCGGGAGCTGGACGTTCACAGACATGGCTGGACGCTTCTTCCTCCTGCCTGCCCAGTAACCACCGGCTCCCTCCTGTCCAGTTGCCCTCACCAGCCCCTGCTGAAGGCCATTCGCTCTTTCTGTCTCCCAGGCCTGCCCTTACAGGGTGGGCCAGCTGGCAAGGGGCCACCCAGTCTTCCGCACACGGGTCCAAGGGGACTAAAGGGCTGTGGAGAGGCAGGTGGCATAAGAAGGGGCAGAATCCCAGTGCTCCGGGCTAGGAGCAGTTTCCCCTGGGGACTCACACAACCGAGACGCCAGTGCCTCCCTGGCTTCCTGGACCCTGCAGCCAACCTTGCCAGAAGCCCTGCTGAGCAGTGAGGGGAGGTTCTCCCCATTCCCTACTGGCATCCTCAATTCTGAGCTGGGGGCTATCCTTCTGGATCATTCCATGAAGGCGGGAATTAACCCTGGAGGGAAAGCACCGACTCCCCCAGCCTAATCAGCCAGAACTGGCTGCACGCCTGTTTCTTGTCCATTGCGAAAAGCCTTTACTGTTACTTTCTAGACAAGCTTAGGATGCAGGTAATGGCAATTAATTACTACAGCAAACATTCGAGCAGTGCCTACTATAGCTCAGACATTATTCCAAGCACTTTACAAATATTAACACATATGAACCCAAATTATAAGAAAATATGGCTCAGAATGGGCAATGAAGTCACCCAAGATCATACAGCTGGAAAGTGGCAGAGCCAGCGTTTGAAACAGGCTCTGTGCTCATTAAGTAGCCACCGACTTCTGTGCTTCTCAAAATGCAAACAACACAAAGAAAAGTCTGCCTCCCTCCCGCCCGAATCGTCCTAGCCCCGAATCGCCACTGTCACTGGCTCCTTGCGAATCCCACAGAAGGACCCCGCATGGGCACATGCCTGCACATCTACTGCACCCGGGAGGTGGAGGGTGGCCACTGCTATCCTTGGGGGTGCTAGGGCTAGAGAGGATGTTCCCTCCCTGAGGTCATCTACTTGAAAACTGCCAACTCTGGGTGGGCAGGCAGAACCCCTGAACACAGCTCTCACGCCCTCTCTTTTGTGCCCCTCTATGTAATGCTAGCAGGAGGCTGCCCATATCAACCATGCCCAGAGGAGCAAGGAGGAAGCCCCAGTTCTGGCTGCAGGATCCCCCAAAAGTCAGCTCAGCGACCCAGACCACCCACATGGGCACCTCCCTCTCCCTCCCTCTACCCCACAGTCTGGCTTGAAATGAATCAAAGCGCTTATCGGTTCTTTCTCCCTCAAGGGCTCAAAGTTCACACAGGCCAGGGGCGCAGCCAGAACCCCTGCTCAACCCACACCTGCTCCTGGTCACTATCCAGTGAGACTCAGCGCAGCCTGGGCCACTTCCCACGCCCACACAGCAGAGAAGCCCCAGCCTCTTCCACCTGAGACCGGAGAAATAGACCAGGAGGCCCCTGCAGTCAGGAAGGCAGCACTAGCCGGGCCAAGAGTTCGAGGTCGGGGAGGCTGGCCTCGGGGAGAGAGGCCAACGGTGGGGTGCTCCGGACGGGCTGGAAGTCAGTCCCAGGGCTGGAGAGGCAGCAGATGCTGGCGCAACCAAGCTGGGTGGCCCTGCTAGAAGGGGGGCTGCCCCCAGCCTCACACGGTGGGAAACAGGACTAGGTTCTGGCCCAGACACCATCTCACACCTGCCTCAGAGGCAGCTGCTCTGCCTCCTGACAGCCAGGAAACGGAGGGACAGCGGAGCAAGGCCAGGTGTGGGGTCTGGTCACGAGCAGGGCCCTCCCACAGCTGCACTTGCCCAGAGGCTGCTCTGGCTCTGGGCCCTCAGTCTGAGGCGTACTCAGCCACTCCGTTCCCACTCCAGAGACAACACATTACACCTTCACACTCCCTCCTCGCCTCAGAGTAAGCCCAGGCCCTACGCAGGCCTCGATGACTCATACTCCCCTCCCCACGGACCTGCCTGCTCCCTGAAGCTCCCAGGCCCCACCTGACTCTGTACCCGCCGCCGAGGACTTCCACAACCCTCTGGCCTGTCCTGCACACTGCCCCTTTGCCCAGGCAGTTTGTTCCTCTGAGCAGAAGTTTCTCAAAACCAGAAAAGCTCTTCTCAACCTCCTAAACCCTAAGCCCGTGCAAGTTTTGCCTCTATGAGGCCTCCCCAGACCCAGCTCCCGGACAGGGTCCCAAGCCTGCCATGGAGCTCTCAGCAAACGTGTCCGGCCCAAGGTTCTGACTCAGTAGCTCCAGGGTGCGGCCAGGGCTGACCCAGGGACACATCCAGCCCCTGTAATAACTGTCGCCAGCGAGAGAGCGACTGCCACCGTGGTGCCTGAAGCGCTGGCCCCACTCTGGACAGCAGCTCCTGCCCTACCCTGAATGACACCCAGAGCCTGGGAACCATCCCTGCTCATGGAACGCTGAGGCTGGGGCGGCCCTGGGCCTGGTGCAGCTGTAGCTGTGGGGCTCGCTCCCTACCAGATGGAAGGAGGGGCACAGGCCCACTGGCAACTTCACCCCTCCAGTGTCCACTGCCCTGTCCAGAAAGACCAGAGCTGGGGAGGAGGGGTGCAAATCCTTCCGGAGCTCCTGGTGCCCCACGAGGACAGCCAGCCTTGGCCCGCCCCGCAGACCGCTGAATGACGAGTTTGTGCACCGGAACGCAAGCCCGGCGCCCCTCGTCACCCCCGAGATCACCAACTATCATCTTTGAAACAGTAACAGCTAATCTCTCCCAAGCACTGCACCCATCAGGCCCCAGGCTGGGCTCTTCCCAGTTCTAGTTCCCACAGCAGACAGGGGAAAGAGGCTGAGACAGAGGGACGGTTCAAGGCCTCGTGGCTTCGGGGCAGGGTCACAGGGTTGAGTTGGGAGAGTGGCTGGCCATCCCCAGGTGCCCGGTAGAGAGTGGGAGGGTGGGAGAGAGGGGGGAGGGGTAGGACTCCCAGGCTCTCCCTAGCCCTGGCAGGAGCCTCCGAATGCCACAGTGACAGCAAAGACAGCTCCCTCCCTCGCTCACTAGGCGCCAGGCTGCTCAATGGCCAGGAGGGGTGGGGGTCTGAGAGGAGCCCCTCCTGCTGCCTCCTGCTGAGTTTCATCAGTAGCTGAAGCCTCAGACAATGACAGTTCTGTCCTGAGCCCAGAGTAGGGGCCCCCCACCAGTCCTCCCTCCCCTATTGGCCTCTGCGGTGTACCCCTGGCCAATGATTCCCCAAACAGGACAGATGGGGAGCAGCCCCCAGGGGGGAAGTCTCTGGACAGAAGTGCCTGGCCTGCCCCGCAAGAGGGGATCCCTGGAGGCGGTTGCCCAGGAAACCGAGCTAGGCCGGCTAAGCTGCTGGACACTGCGTGACGGGGCTGCCCCAGTGGCGGGACTCCTCTGCTTCCCTCTCTTCCTCCTCTTCGTCTCCCAGGTACCAAAATACCCCTTCACCCCAAAGATCCATCCCAGGCAGGAGGTCCGGGGGGAAGGTCAAGTGAAAAGCTACCTATGATGGGCGGAGCTGCCCAGCCCTGTCTCTGAAGGCCCCAGAGCCTCAGCTGTGTCCTAGGCAGGCCGCTGCAATGGTGCCTTCAGGGCACCCCTGGGGGCTGGAGGGGACAGCATCAACTGCCGCCCCATCACCTTGTGGAGCTGTTTCCATCTGAAGCCCAGTTCCGTCACTGTGCGGCTCCTCAAACAACCACGGGGCCTTTGCACTGGCTGCCCCTCTGCCTGGAATGCCCTCCCCCCAGGGACACACATGGCTGGCTCCCTCACCTTCAGGGTCTGCACAAAGACCATCAGAGAGGCCTTCCCCAACCACCCAAATAGCTCACACAGATCTCCGTCTCCCTCTGCGCCTGGCCCTGCCTTCCCAGGGCACAGGGGATTCAATCCCCCTGGACACCTGCAGAGTTGAGTGGCTTCTGTTAACCTCCTCCTAATAGCATGTGGCTGGTGGCTCTCCCTCAGGCCCGGCACACACTGGGCCTGCACACACTGCTGAGTGAAGCGGGAATCCCGCTGTCAGAGAGGGGGCCAGGCCCATGTCACCCACGGTCGAGGGGCACAGACTCCCCAGTTCCATGTCTCCTCCTGTCTGAAGTCTGCCTGCAGCCGGGACAGTTTCACAAACAGCTTCACTGCCAAGCTGTGCAGCAAGAGGCGGGGCCGAGAACCAGTGTGGGGAGAGGCCTGGGCCTGCGCCAGTGTTTGCTCAGAAGGAGTCGGGCGGAGCTGGGCAGGAGGAAGCACGCGGACTATTCCTAAAAACTTGCTCCCCAAAAACCACATTGTTGCTCTGCTGAGTCAGGCCAGGCAAAGGGATGCGACCCCAGGGCCGGGGGCTGCCACCCTCAAGCACTCCAGCGGGCACACCAGTCTCGCTCACACAGCCTGGGGGCCCTGGCGAACATTCCAGCCCCAGAGAAGGGACCCGCGGCCTTGGGGACAAGGCTGGCAAGGCACAGTAAGCAGAGGGACCCTCCCTTCAGAGCCCACGAGGGCCAATCTGGCTCTGCCTGCTCTCTTCAGACGGAGGGCTGCCTCTTGGGGGGGGGGGGAGCTTTGTCCCATGAGAAGAAGGATTTGGGCAGGAAAGGAATAACCCTTGCAAAACCCAACCCAA